CTTTTGTCCCTCGCTCTCCTTCCGGCTGTATGAGGCGAGTGCTTGTTCTAACGGGGCAGCACTGCCGAGCCATCCCCGGGCTCCAGGCTTTTCTGACCCAGCGCGGGGAGCCACCCCGGCAGCCATGCCCGCCCCTCACGGCCCGGGGCGCGGGGAACGCGGCAGGGCCCGGCGGGAGCCCAATGGAAGCGTCCGGGCGCGGCCGCAGGAGCGCTTCCCTCAGGGCCGGCGGCATTCCCGCGTCCGCCTTGAGGCGGAAAAGGGGTGGATTTCATAGAATCATGGAACACGCTGAATTGGAAGGGACCTATCAGGATCAAGGAGTCCAGCTCCTGGCCCTGAGCTGGACGCCCCAGGAGTCACACCATGTGCCTGAGATCGTTGTGTCCAAACACTTCTTGGACTCCGACAAGCTTGGTGCTGGGGATGTTTCTCTGGGAAACCAGTTCATTGCTCAACCATCTTCTAAGAGGGAAAGTCCAAATTAATCTAGTTGCTGAGATGGCGTAAAAATTCATTATTTTCTTTTTAGAAAATTAATCCTTGCTCACAGTGAGACCTTACTGACCCGTAGGGTTGCGGAATGAAACCGAGTGTAGCTTTTCAGATACCGCTTGGCACCTCCGTTTTCGCTGTGCTTACAGGAAATGCCCGACAGAAGCACCCGGCGGTGCGTGCACACATTTCCAGTCAGCTGGGGAAACACTTGCTTGAGCAAAGGGGTTTCAGGCCCTTCCCAGCAGACTGTGGTTCCTGTTTATGTGTAATTCCCCATACCCATTCCTCTTTTTGCCACCCCTTTAAGGGGAAGCATGCCCTTTGCAGTGATGAAAGGCAGTTCCACAGTTCATCATAGCATAATTTCTATCACGAGTCTGCCAACGAGAGAAGTTACTTTTTACACAGGAGGCAAACCAGCAGCACATTGTGAGCCACTGAGGAGAGCGACTCCAAGAAGTCACAAAACAATGCCCCAGTTTCCAGAAATGTGTTTCACAAATACCAATCATGCTACGTGACTTAGACATTTACCTGGCATAAGTCTCTTAAGTTTCTCATTAAGGTGTGTGGTAGCAGACCAAATATTTGTAGCCCTACATAGTAAGTTTCTTTTGAAGGTCTTTCAGTGAGAATTTAAGTGTCAGGGAATCCTGGGTAATTTATTAATGTTAGATATATTTATTGAGAATTAAATCTAGAGTGGCCCTACGGATTTCCTTCTGCTTTTCAGTGGAGCGTGTGGAAGAGTAAGAGCAGTATCTTAGGAGGAATCATGGTAGCTGGAGATTGTTTAGCCCCTGACAGATAATAATTTTGATTGTAATGTGGATCTTGCACTGTCATTTTTGCAGACTCTTTACATAACCATGCATGTCATAGAACTGCAAGACATTATTAATGCAAGACATTGTTAATCACTGTTATAACACAAAGTTATCACCTAAGGGTGAAATTATCATTATATGTACATGAATGTGGACATCTATTTGGCTATAAGGATGCATACATTTTATAAGTTCCTAAACTACTTTCTTGAATTTAAGACTTTTACACTTAGCATTTTCTAATTTTTTTTCTCTTTCAATTTTCAGTAATTGATTTCACTTGTATTGTTTCACTATGGTAATACTGCAAATGGGTTTGGAATAAATAAGCATTAGTGATTGAACACTTCCACTCATCTCAGATTTCACTGATGTTTGTTATTATTCTGTCATCATCTTTCTAATGGATTTCAAAAAAGATACCTGCCCTTTAGTAAATAGATAACTATAAATAAAGATGAAAAGACATTTGGCTAATTTTAATAGAACATAGTAGTATTCATGGCATTCACAGACTGTATTAATCTACTTCCAGTGGTTGCACTGGTAAATCTGAAGGGTTAATGGCATGCAATTAATGGTAATATGCTTATTTCCCTATTTAACATGTTGTTCATCTGTCCTTATAGTACCTAGGCATACAAGCAAGGCCAGTGGCATCTCATACTGTCAGTGAATTGAGGAGATCCTCTGCAATAAGAGTCTCTATGTTACAGCAGTTAATACACAGTACCAATTGTGTGTCTGGTTCTGTATTCAGCAGAATAATATGTAGGTTATGTTTAAGCAGTTCTGCTGTTACATTACAAAACAGGAATGAATATTTGTTTGAAGAAAGGTATTAGGATGACCTTAGGATTTTATCTCATCCTAAGGATGGATAGCAAAGTCTTTCCAGCTAAGAGCAGGCAATGGGGAGGTTTGTATGTAACGTCATTATAAGGTGCCATTTGGAAATCAGCTGTGAATAGTCTTATCAGCCTCATCAGCATTATAGCAGAGAATTTTCCATATTCTGTTGCTTACTACCTATCCTATCTCTCAATTTCATTTTTGGATGGCCTCTTTTACTCGAGGCTGAGAAATTAAATATAATGTACAGAATAAGCCTCAAATTGAAAAAGTAGTTTTTTAGATTATTTCCTCTGCTTCCTGAATCATTGAAATATTAAATCTTGAATGTGTTATGATATGCTAACCCAGAAAAGTAGGTTATAGTTTGGTAGTTCAGTATTTAGATCTCAGCTATGGTGGAATTTCTTACATTATACAGAAATAAAGAGAGGCTAGTTTATGTCTTTGCCAGGACAGTAACCCTGTGTTTGGGCATTCAGTACCAAAGTCACTGCTCTGTTTTAATTAAAAGAAACCCAAACAATAAACCAAAGCCCACTCATTGTTTCCATGTTCACTGTTTAACGTAATCACAACACTGCTGGAGCATGAGAGCAATTATTATTCCATTCCCATTAAATGTAAATTAAACTAAGACAAATGGTATGTTTATAAACCAGCCTTGATAAGAGCCTGACAATTAAACTGGTATAGCAGAATGGATAAAAAAATACGATAATGCTTATAGACTTAGATCATTATTAAGTTCAGATAGTAGGGTGTTGAATTTCTTTTTCAAAATAAGTACTTATTCTCATGTTAATTTAATGAAGGTAGAAAGTTGGTAAAAAGATTAATTTTTCTCCTGTTTAATATATTGCAAAGCATAAAAACACGAAGTTCAATAATAGAATAGTGAAGATATTACAGTAATATTGTATGTGAAAAGTACATCTGGAGAAAAGCAAATGCCATTTCACAAGCTGTCAGTAGATGGCACAAACCTGTATATAAAAGTTTGGGCGTTCCTAAGTATTGTTACTCAGTAGGATAGAGTTACAGGAAGCTTTCTTTTTGTGTTTTCCTGAGAACTTTTCTGCTTTTTCGGACAGCAGGGATTTCTGGTGAGAAAGATTTAATTTTGTTGACTTTATGCTGTTGCTAGTTAGCTGGAATTGTTTTATATTCTGTATCTTATTTGAAAATATTAAATGATTTTATTATTTGAATGAGTCTTGTTTTCCATAGCAAGTGTAGAACGTTCTTTCAAGTGTATGGGTAAGCAACGATGGTAAAGTTGCTTGTGTTCGGAATATTTATCCAAGGAAACTGTCTAAGCAGCAGTCTCTTTTTGTTAGCACTACACCCATAGTTAAGGAGGGCAGAGTGAGAGCAGTAGAGTGAGGCTACAGTTAAGGAATGGGTCTAACTTGATCATGTGTTTCACCCTTGTGAAAGGCATGCTTGTAACATTAAGTTTTTTTGCTATGATGGTAACTTATGACCATCTTAAGCATGCCTTAAGACTGAACTGTCTTAGTTAATTATATTCTGTGTATTTCCTATAAGGAAGTTTAGTCAGTTTATACCAATTCTATATTTGAAAAACCCTTAAAACCTCATTTTTTAATCTCTTCCCTCACTCTTTAAACAACAGGACACTTTTTTGCTATGCTCTTGGGTTGCCTACCCTTCTGGATTGCTTTTCTTGATTAAGCTTTTTAAATCAAGTTTGAAGACATGAGGATACTTCTGAATTAAAAGTGATATGACTATAAAGGATAATTTCTATAGCTTTAGCCCCCAAATCATAGGTTATATGTTATGAAAGTTTTTACTTGTGTTGCTTCATAGGATATTCTAAAGAAAGTTTGAAGGTACTCATAAACAATTTGATTGAATGCTAGGATATATGAATGAGAAAGAAAATAAAACACATGTAGAAGAATCATATCCTTTTTTCCTCTAGTCTATGGATATTGCTGAAATTTTATCTGAAGAAAGAATAATGATTTAAAGATAGATTTTTTTTCAGATTTCTCTTGAAACTACATATTTTGTTTAATTATAAACACATTAGTAGAGTTGCCCAATCAATCAGGAGAACAGGACTGAAGATGCCCAAATGCCTTTTGAGGGCTGTGATACATATAATTTTTCCAAATGAGACTTTGGAAAAAGGCTGGAAAAGTTTGTCCATATTACTCCACTATTTCTAGATGATTCCCAAGCTTAGTTTCATGCATTCTTTATGAAATAACTCAGTGGACTATTTTTTCTTTTTCTTTTTTTTTTTCCTTCTTTTTCTTTTGTATTATTAAATCGAGTGGAACATATATTTTGCCTCAGTAATTCTGAGAAAGCTTGTGGAATGGTTAATGGTGCAGTGAATGTAGTCCTTGAAGTTGTAAATCAGTCCATCATGTGATAGCTACTGTCTCATTGTAAAGTCATTAAAAATACAAACTCACAGTTTAGCACCTTTAATATCAAGGGAAAGTTGAATTCCAGTGCAGTCATTAATGAGTAGTATGGGAAGCTTCAGGCAACACTATGATTTAAAATTAATGGGAGGGAAAGGGAAAGAAGAGGAATACTTGAAATCTGGACAACAACTTTAAATAAGATCTACGCATGCAAAAGTGTTAACCAAGTTCTTACCAGTTCCTGTTTTAGAGGGGCGGTCTAATGGGTTTATGCAGTTCCTAAAATGAGATTTAAGACAGTGTTCAAAGGCTGACTTAAACAAAGGGAAGCTGGCTACCCTAAATGCCTATATTTTGAAAGAAAAAGTGACCTCTAATAGGGAAAACCAAAGCAAAGGCACAGCTACAATTTTTTTCCTCTAAAGTCTTTTAAAATAAACCTCTCTTTCACAACAGAGACGTTTGAGGTCAGTGTCCTTAGATCAGGGCTGGATTTTGTGTACTGAGGTTCTACAAATGATATATTTTTGTGTAGCCTGCAAATATTCCCAGTGTGTGTCTAGTGTTCTCTGTGTACCCCTGGCAAACCAGACATGTGAGCACCTCACTTTCAGAGTCTAAATTCAGGAAATGCTTAAGCTCAGACAAAAAGTGAACTCTTCTGTGGACTTTCCCAAGGCATAAATATAGATCATTCTACCCTCACCCATTACCCCAGTTAAAGAAAGCATTGATGCTCCAATTTCAGCTATCTAAAGACATTCAGCTTTGATTCAGGCTCTTGAACCTCCATCCTATGTTGCAGTCCAAGTGTTACTGTCAGAAGTCCATTTTAAAATAATCTGAGTCCAGTTCACATCCTATAAGAGAGAATCTGAGGAGAGAATGACTGTGCTGACCCCAGTTATTGTACTTTCTAATCTAATTAATTACAGAATGTAATAAAGTGTATTACATTCTGTGCACCAGTTCAGGAAGTCTTTAAAATACACTATATCAAAGCAGTAATTCTGTAAGTGAGCAGCAAATTTTAGACACCTCTGAAATCAGACATGTTTTGTAAGAAACGGACTCATTATTTGTTAAATACACTATATTTGCCAAATAAAAAATTTAGTGGTTTCATTTCTGTTGATAAAGAAGTTTTTTCCTGAATGATTGTAGAAAATCATTGCTTTTTGAATCAAACAGAAAAATGAGAAACTGGAACCTTAAAAAAAATATCTCTGGTGGTTTCTGCACAGCTGCTTAATAATACAATCTGGTTTTTGAGTGTGTCTTTTTTTGTTTTCCAACAGAATTAGAACAAGGATGGACAGTTAATAAAAGTATTGAGCGTCTCCAAGGAAACAGAAAACAGTATGACACAAAATACGAGCTTTCTCAAAAACTTTATTTTTTACGAGTGTCTGTTTGCATTAACTTTTTGGAACCATGTCAGCCTATCTGTGGAAGATGAACTTTTTGCACCTGTTTCTAACAATTTTCCAGAAGATGGTTCTAACCAAAAAGTCAAGAGCCTGCCACTCCGGTATACAAAGGACCATCCATACAAAACTAATTTTGACTGGGTTGTGATACAAAATACTACAGAGAGCTTGTCATTGTCAGAAATCACAAATGACAATGTAAAAAAATTGGTAGCTTTATTATCTAATTTTAGACAAGGATCCAGGTTACAAAATCTGACACTGACAAATGTGTCACTGGATTGGAATGCACTTATGAAAGTTTTTCAGACTGTATGGCACTCATCCATTGAATACTTCAATATTAACAGTGTAACACAACTGTCAGACATTAAAAGTTATGACTTTGACTATTCTGGTACCTCAATGAAAGCATTGACAATGAAGAAAATTCTAATCACAGACTTATACTTCATACAGGATGACCTATACAGAATATTTGCAGACATGAATATTGCAGACATGACAATAGCTGATTCAGAGATGATTCATATGCTTTGTCCTTCATCTAAGAGTCCCTTTAGATACCTAAATTTTTTAAAGAATGATTTAACAGATTTTCTTTTTCAAAAATGTGACAACCTACTTCAGCTGGAGACATTAATCTTGCAGAAGAATAAATTTGAGAGCCTTTACAAGGTAAGCTTCATGACCAGCCACATGAAATCACTGAAATACCTGGACATGAGCAGCAACCTGCTGCGCCACGATGGAGCCGACGTGCAGTGCCAGTGGGCTGAGTCTCTGACAGAGCTGGACCTGTCCTCCAATCAGTTGGCGGATGCTGTGTTTGAGTGCTTGCCCGTCAACATCAAAAAACTCGGCCTACAAAACAATCAGATCAGCAATGTCCCCAGGGGGATGGTGCAGCTGGAATCCCTGGAAGAGCTGAACCTGGCATCCAACAGGCTGGCTGACCTGCCAGGGTGCAGTGGCTTTCCGTCCCTGCAGTTCCTGAACATAGAGATGAATTCGATCCTCACCCCATCTGCTGAGTTCTTCCGGAGCTGCCCAGGGGTCAGGGAGCTGCAGGCCGGGCACAACCCGTTCAAGTGTTCCTGTGAACTGCAGGCCTTTATCCGCCTGGAGAGGCGGGCAGGGGGGAAGCTGTTCGGCTGGCCGGCGGCCTACGTGTGCGAGTACCCGGAAGGCTTGCGAGGAACGGAGCTCAAGGACTTCCACCTGAGCCTGCTGGCTTGCAACACGACGCTCCTGCTTGTGACAGCTCTGCTGCTGACGCTGGTGCTGGTGGCTGCGGTGGCCTTCCTGTGCATCTACCTGGATGTGCCGTGGTACGTGCGGATGACATGGCAGTGGACGCAGACGAAGCGCAGAGCTTGGCACAGCCCGCCCGGAGATCAGGGGGCCGTTCTGCAATTCCACGCGTTCGTTTCCTACAGCGAGCGCGATTCGCTGTGGGTGAAGAACGAGCTGATCCCGAACCTGGAGAAGGGCGAGGGCTGCGTGCGGCTGTGCCAGCACGAGAGGAACTTTATCCCTGGCAAGAGCATTGTGGAGAACATCATCAACTGCATTGAGAAGAGCTACAAGTCGATCTTTGTGTTGTCTCCCAACTTTGTGCAGAGTGAGTGGTGTCACTACGAGCTGTACTTTGCCCATCACAAGTTATTCAGTGAGAATTCCAACAGCTTAATCCTCGTTTTGCTGGAGCCTATCCCTCCGTACCTTATCCCTGCCAGGTATCACAAGCTGAAAGCTCTCATGGCAAAGCGCACTTACCTGGAGTGGCCGAAGGAGAGGAGCAAGCGTGCGCTATTCTGGGCTAACCTGAGGGCAGCCATTAGCATTAACCTGCCAAAAGCTGATGAAAACTGGCATGAGGAAATAGATGAAGAACTTTTGTAATGGAGTTTCATCTGTTTTGTTTTTTTTTAGTGAAACAATAAATATGATTTCCATTCATTGTAAATGTATTTAACTTTTTGTTACACAGTCTTGTTTCTAACTAGTTGTCTGTGTTGCCTCCTAACTGTAGTCAAAATTCAATTCACTGTATTGCAAATCTCTTGAGATAGCAAGTTGCAAATTAATTCGAATTTTGAAATATGAGTTGAAATATTGTGAGTTTTTCTCAGCAGAGTAAAATCTGGAGCAGTTGGTATAGTCATGTGGAAGAATACTACAGCTGCTGGAGAGTTTGCAGAACTTCTTTAATCACACAATTTATAAAGCTTTGTCAAAGGAGACCTTTTGCTAAAATTGGTTCATGTGAAAGAAAATTAAGGGTCCTGAGAAGATGTCTGAAGTCCAGAGCTCAGAATGGTTACCAAATAGTCTTTGCACAGATTCAGTGAAGATCAAAAGGATAGGACCCAGCTACAGAAGTTTGTGAACTTTGATCTTGCCAAAAACAAAGTCTGAGGAAGGAAGAAAAGTTTTGGGCTTTTCTCTTAAGGGTAAAAAGAAAGATGAGGGACTTAACTTTTTAACTTGGCATTGCAGCAAGGGAGAAGCAGTGAATTGATGGAACTCTAATACCCCTAGAGTCCTGGTACCATTTTGATCCTGAGAGATACCTTGACCAGAGGGGGTGGGAGGCTGCAGGAACAGAACTGCCTTCATCATATTGTCTATTTTTTGAGAAACTCCTGACATCTCTAAATCATACCTTTTTCCCCCCAAGATTTCTACTTTTTGTCTTCTCATCCATATATCTTACTTCGTGCTTATTGTTAAAGGAATCTGTCCTTTTCAGCTGAAACTGTATCTCCTGTAGCACAGCTATGACTTGTGATCAGAAAGTCAATAACCAGTCAGAGTCAGAAAAAATTCCCAGGTCTTGAGACAGCAGGTAAGACTTTATTCATTGAGTTAGAAAAACAAACTACATTTACAATATTTGCTTTCCTTTACAGAAATATAGCAGGCCCCTCTGTCTGTGCTTACACTGTTTTAGCTTCAAAAAAGCATGGCTGGGCTCAGGCAAACATTCACAACTGCTAAAGATGATGACAGCAAACTTCCTCTTTGCCCCAACAAGGGAAGATTGTTTGAAATACCAGAGCTAGATGACCGTCAAGCAGGAAGTTTCCCTTCAAAAATGAGTTTCAACATGTATATGAGAGAAGAAGGGATGTTATGATGAAATCCTCATGTAGTATAGAATATTTACATTTTAACATATTTTTGCCTTCCATTATTAGCAAAAGGTGTTAATTTTGATTCTTCTTTTTGCCTGAGGTCTAAGTATGATGAGATTTCTTGACCTGAAGCCTTGAACTCTGAGTGACTGTTTATGACCTGTAAAAGAGAGGTCAAATTTAACACTTAACTCTCTCATCCCACTTAGCCTCAAAATTAATATAACATACCTATTACCAAATTGCAGACATTTAATTCAGGACTGTGGAAATAAATGGTTATTTTCTGCTTCCTCCTTCCCCTCCAATTACTTCTTCAGTGTGTGACCCTTGGAAAAGTGTAGATGATCAGAGAGCTTGTTTTGCCTGTCCCTTTTTCACAACCAGGGGCAGCTGGATTATGTGGTGCCTTGCTTGAAAATTTTCTTCAAAAGCCTCAGAGTTTTAGGCCAGTTACCCTTGAAACCTCTGCAATACAATTAACATCCCCTTGTTGTGTGTAACCTTAACAACTCATCTGTCATCTTCTGTTGGCTGGAAGACAGAGAAACCCTCTGAAAGTCAGAGGTGAACCAAGAAACCTTCCTGTTACTCATGTGGGTGCCATAGCCATTACCAGAAATTAAGGAATGGAAGGTTTTAGCAAGGCAAGCAAGGTTTATTTGCCACTTTGGATAGAACTTGGAATTGTGTGACCTCAGGAAATGTAGCTGATGTTATGAGCAATAATAAGCAGAGCAATTACACTTCTGTGTTATTATTGGTTTCTGGATTCCAAAATCCTTGAGTGAATAAATTGGAAAGGGTGGCTTTTAATGAGCATGGACATCAATTAAAACTTGTAATTTGGAACCAGAAGCCCACATGCTATTATCTTTTTTTCCGTATGTGCCAAATAATTGAGAAAACAGCTAAACATGCAACGGATTATTAGAACTAGTTTCTCTGATTCCACAACAGACAACGAGTTTCTCAAGTGTTATTAGAGTATTTCTAACAATTATCTCAGCCTCTGTCATACTGTCAACCCTTTCTATAAAACCAGCTTTAATCCATGAAGAAATTTTTCTGTGTTCATATGTTGTCTCAGTACGTCTCACAGCACATGAGCCAGTTTATCTGCACATTTTGGAAAGAGACTAACTTTTCTGTGCAGCCTGGTGATGTTTGCCTGCATTTGGTGCAGCACTGAAATGTCTAACTGCTGCTGCACTCCAGTTATCAGGAAAAGGGAGTGTGTAAATATGTTCTGATGTCAGATACTGTATCAGAGCAGATTCCTGGCATTGGACTAGTCATCTTGGTGACTAGCAGGAATGGTATTTTCACATACATAAAGATATCAACATACAAAACTGATAACATTAAGCACCCTCCAAAACCTAAAAAATGTGCAGAATCAAATGAAAGTGTAAAAGTTTTTATGTATGTTTAAGTAGCGTCTAGTATAAAGGAAACTGAACTATGGCAGGCAGTGAGACTTGACACAATGTAGGTTGCCCTGCTGAGAACTCAGCTCTTCTTTAGCTTTAGAAATGTTACAAAACATCTTCACTGAAGTTCAGCTGCAGAGAGTTAGAGGAAGGAAGGGCACTGAAGGGAAAATAATGATACTCTGTGGGAAATTCTGCTGAGGGGAAGGTTCAAAACTTCTGTGAAATCCATGTTTACTCAGGGCTTTGGTTAATCTGTTTTTTCTTTTGGAAATATTTGCTTAGATTGTTTATCATGCTCATTTTTGTTTTGTCAAAAGAAAGCAGTATTTATAACCAATAAATGAGAAAATTGTGTGTCCTGCAAGGCGGCTCTGGGTTACCAATTTGATTTCCGCAGCTTTGATCCTTGTGTCTATTTATACCAAAGCAAAATAAACTTGAGCATCAATGTGATACAGTCCCTGCTCACTTTGACTTGTGGTGGCATTTAGCCTTTGTTTCACCTACTTGACGTCCAGCTGACAATGACAATTACAGTTAAACATTGATGTGACCAAACACTAGTTTTGCAAACCTTTAATTATTTTATTAACTTTCCATGAGTACTTTGGTGAGTTCATCTGCTGTGACTATGCTTTAATCCCATGTCTTGCACATGTAAGATCCCTTCTGCAGTTCTTATCAGAGAGATTCTTCACACTTTCGGCATGGTGCTGATCCTGTATAGCTTTTCATGCCTGGCCAAGGGTAGCTGTGATTCCTCTCTGGGTAAGTAATGGTGACATACAGGCAGAAGTGTGAAATGGCTTTTTGTGACCATTGGTAGAGCAAACTACAAAAACCCCCAGTGGTGTAAAATTCAGAAATGGAACAAAGTATCTGCATGAATATATGGAAAAGATGGTATGTAGCTGGTACATTTTAAGATGCATGAGCAGAAATAAATTGCTTTCAGTTTTTGCCTGTCATGAAAAGTGACTGAATCACTAAACTGAAATCAGCCCCAAACAAAACTTTGTTGAATTGGTTAGTAAAAAAATTATGCAAGGTTTCTAATGGTTTAACAGAGGTATTCAGGAGTATCAGTTTTATTTTAACCAATTGCAAATTTTTCTTTATGGCAAACTGTTTATTTGGATGTATTTTAAAACTTCATAAAGAAAGGTGGTAAGAAAATTAAACATACTACAACTAAAAGGTGGTTTTAATAGCTGTGTGTGCACTAGAGTCAGTTCTGATGAAAGCTGATGATGTATTTGATTTTGCCATGCAGCTAATATTTTTTCTATGAATTATGTTCAAAGTAAGCAGTAAAGCTGCTACTGTTTTGCCTAATTGTGATATCTCTGTTCTGTCAACAAGGGCCTTACTCTATTCAGTATCATGGATTAATGCCTAGCAATAGGAGCATCTTTTTTAACTTGAAGTCTAGATGATATCAGCTGGCAAACACTCTTGCTGCTTATCGAGAAACATTCATGATCCCAGGTCTTGTCTTGGGCCACAGATGTTGATTTTCTCCCAGGCTCATGTGCCTGTTCACAATGCTAACTGAATGGCTGCTTTCTTGGATTCCTTCAGTCTCAGATTGCCCTATATTGTCATATTCTTTGCGGCTTCATTACACCTGTCTTGTCATAGGGAATATTCTCTGTTGATTTTTGTAAGTTTTTGGAGGAAGCCACAATGCGAGGTATCCTTGATAACCATTCTAGTGTAAAGATGATTGGCCTGTAAAGATTTTTAACTGTGCCAGTTTGCCCCTGTTACTAGCTTTTGAGATATAAACTTCTGTCATCCATCAGTGTGCTACAGTAATTACTCTCCTTGATGAGCAAAAAACTTTGGTAGGGTAGAGCTCTGCAAGAGATCTTTGTATGAACAAAAACTGGCAGTGAGGGTTCTGCTTCCTCTTTTCTATGTGTGCAAAGAGGAGATGCAGTTGACAGATTTCTAGAACACCTGTGTAACATCAGAAGCAGACTTGAAATTAGAAATGCAGAATTATTTGAACGGTCTTGCCAATCTATACTACAGATAGATTTATTTCCTCCTAAACCAGATAGTTATGCAAATATTACAGAAGTAAATGCATTTTTAGTCTGAGCTGCTAAAAGTTTCCCTAAGTGCTCTTAATACCTGCATTGTAAGGTATATACCTGTTTCATTAATTCCTTGAATTGTATAGCCTGTTTAAATAAAACCTAGGTTTTTTTGCTTTCTGGGGTAGGCAATTATTGAGGAATCAGCATCTCATGTGAGATTCCCCACCTTGAAGATTATGTATGTTTGAAATTCTACTTCAGGCATGCTAACCAAATATGCAGAGGACTTTTTCCCATTTTTCAACTTGGAGATAAATTCCATGCAAAAAAGGTGGGTTATATTTGCTTCATTATTTATAATTATTTTCTCTTTGTTATATATATATATATATATCTTCATCAACTCTCAGGTGCTGGTGTTTCTTTGCTGTTGGAAGATACTCTTACATTTTGAAGTGTTTTCAGTGAAAACACTCATCTGAATTTCAGCAAAGAGGAAGGGGAGAAAAATCATTTGGTATGGCAGTTGTAATTCTCAGCCAACTCTAATTTAATAACATTCTAAATCAGCATTGGAGAGGTAACCCTTGATCCTTACTACTGCTTTTCTAGACATATTTGCTTTACTCTGACTGCAGCACTCTGCAGGGCTATAGAGTGTGACTTATCTCTTGTTGCAATGTCTAGCATGGTATGTACAGTAAATTAAAACTCATCTGGTGCTGGAACATAGACAAATAATATATTTCTATTTTTTTCTCCCTTCAGAACATTTCTTGCTTTATTACTGATATCCCTTTTGTCCAAGGGGAAGTTTCTCAAGATAGTGCTAGATAAAGCTTATTTGATTCAAGAGTTAAGATTGCTTATCAGCTTGGACTCTGAGGAACTGAGCTAACTGCGCTTTGAAGGAACTGGGTCAGATTTCCTTGTCTTGTTTTGTCTTGCAATTCATATTGTCCTTTGACCAACCATCCCAGCTTAATTTCTTTTGTGTCCTCAGATACCCTAGCACAGCTTTCTGAAGGTGTAATTTGACCTCTCTATCGGATTTGATAGCGTTAGAAATACTTTAGTGATTTCTTCCTTTTGGTGATGTTAATTGCATATATTTTTGCTTTACTTAATTGAGAAAAAAAAATATTAAGGCTGATAGGAAGCTTGGATGGGAAGGGATGAGTTTTGATATCAGTTAGTCAAATTATTAGACACTAACACATAATCTAGAACTGAAAAAAATCGGGTTTTGGTTTTTATTTAACAAAAAATTACACAGGGACAGAATTTTAAAACTTTGGGGTTTTAGATCTTTTTAACAGAAAAAATCAGAACAGAAAATACAGCTGGAGATGTTTGTCTCCTGAAACAATTTGACAATATTGTTGTTGAGTGATTTTCTCAATATGAGTTGTTTATGCTTCATGTTGTCTGTGTGTTTTGTTTAATGCTTGCAACGAGAAAGTAATGCCCAGGTCATGGTTTTTCAGAAAAGGACTGATTCCTCTCCAAGTCCATGAAGGCTATTGATAGGCATGACCAGATATTAATTCAGCTGGACCCTGTCTACAAAATCCTTTCCTCCTTGGGTTTTTGATACTTAGAACTAGATTAATTATCCCTCACTATTTTTAGAGAGGTTCACTGTCAAGTTCCAATTGTAGGAAAATATAGAAAATTTCATAGGACACCTAGGAAATTCTGGAGTCTTTGGTAATGTCTGTTTTCTTTTAGATTTTGGGTATCATTGCTTCATACATAGTTCACTCATGGTGTGGTATTACCATTAGTATGCTTTTGGTCAGACTGGTGTAAAAATATTCATTTGTGTGGAGTATGAATGGTTGACCCTGGCAGAGTACTAGCTGTCCACCCAAGTCATTGCATCGCTCCCTTCCTCAATTGGACAGGGAGGAAAATATAAAATGAAAGGCTTGTTAGCCAAATAAGGGCAGGGAGAGATCACTCACTCATCCATTACTGTCACAGGCAACACAGACTCAACCTGGGAAATTAATTTCATTTATTACAATTTAATCAGAGTAGGATAATGAGAAATAAAACCAAATCCCAAAACACCTTCTTCCCAGATCTCCCTTGTTCCCTGGGCTCAGCTTCACTTCTGAATGCTATATCTCCTCTCCCAGCGGCACTGGGGGTCAGGGAATGTGGCCTGTGGTCTGCTCATCACTTGTTATTTCCTACTTTTTCCTTCTCACTCTGTTCCCCTGCTCCATCCTGAGGTCCCTTCCACTGGAGATAGTTCTCCACAAACATGAGTCCTTCCCACTAGCTGCAGTTCAAGAACTCTTTAGCACAGATCCCTTCCATGGGGCATAGTCCTTCAGGCTGCTCCCGCATGGGTCCTCCATGAAGTGACAGTCCTGTCAGCAAACCTGCTCCAGGGTGGGCTCCTCTCTCCACAGGACGACAGGTCCTGCCAGGAGCTTGCTCCAACATGGGTCTCCCATGAGGTCACAGCCTCTTTCAGGCATCTACATGCTCCAGCATGGGCTCTTCCATGGCTGCAGGTGGATCTCTGCTGATCATAGACCTCCATCACTGCAAGGACACAGATTCCTCACAGGAATCTCTGCTCCAGCACCCAGAGCACCTCCTCCCCCTCCTTCTGCACAGACCTTGGTGTCTGCAGAGCTGTTTCTCCCATATCTTCTCACTCCCCTCTCCCAGCTGCAGTTGCTGTTCCCCAGGGCTTTTTCCCCTTCTTCATGGTGTTATCCCAGAGGCACTACTAATGTTGTGGATGACCTTGGCCCTAAATCCAGCTTAAATCCAGCTACTGGCTTTATGGAGCACAGAGGAAGCTTCTAGCATCTTCTCAGAGAAACCATACCAGTAGTCCCCCTGCTACCAAAACCTCACTGCACAAACCCAATGCAATGGACAGTAAAATTCCTCTTCAGAATTCTTGGCTTACTGGAAAAATGGACTCTTATGTCTTTGTGCTATAGCAAGGACAAAGCTGATAATCTGACCCTGAGAGGGTGCATGGCAATTGCCAGGGTCTTTGGAGTGTGAAGAAGAATATCCTTTGAGTGAAGAGGTTGTTTTTGTACCAGTTGCTGTGAGGGTGGTTTTATTGGAGTTTTGTTCCCAAATGTGCATGAATTTGGGATGTATAAAAACAGCAGATGGATTGGTTGTTTAATTCTTCTTTATTTATAAATGCATTGATGTTGGTTTGTACCAGTTTTGCATTCTTTTGTTATTGTTGAGAAATTTGTATTTTTAAAATCTATCTTATTTTTAACATACCAGTGGCATCCCACCCCCATTATTAAGAGAAGTAATTTATATTTGACTGAATCAATAATTAGAGTTAAAGAATGGGAGTGAGGACTGTTGATAAGGACTGAAAACAAGAGTATGTAAAAATAATTTTTTATTACATAGATTGTATATTGTATTCTATTTTCACAATAAAAGAACAACTTCAGCCATTCAACAGCTTCATTAAATTTCATGTATTTTTTTTTTCATAGGGCTGGACTCATCAGGGAGACGTATTGTACAGAAAACAAAGATATGCTTCCGTGTTTCTGTAAAAAAACAAGATAAAGCTGGATAGCATAATGAGCTCCCTCACAAATATCTATGTTTTCACTTGGGCCTTTACCTTCACACTATGTAACAATATCCAGTCAACTGTAGAAGATGAATTTATTGCAAATTATTCAAGCAGTTCGCTAACTTATGTTCCAAAAATCATTCCAGCCCATACTCAGGTATTAGATTTATCACATAATAGGATCTCTGGACTTAGTATCTCAGAATTTATTTATTTTTCTGACCTTCAAGTATTAAATATTTCTCATAATATAATTACAGTGCTTGACTTTAGTGTCTTTATTTTTAATGAAAATTTAGAATACTTAGATTTATCTTATAATAACATTTCAAAAGTTTGCTGTCTCACTCTTGCGTATCTTAGACATTTAGATCTTTCTTTCAATAAGTTTACTGCCCTGCCCATGTGTCAGGAATTCGGGAACATGTTTCATTTGGAGTACCTTGGATTAAGTGCTACAATGATACGAAGGTCAGACTTCAGGTATATCAAACATTTGCAGCTGCACACTGTCTTCCTGACCTTAAGAAACTTTTCGTTGTATGAGCCTCAGAGTCTGACAGTCTTGACCACAAGGAACCTCCACATTGTTTTTGCAGCAAACCAAAACTTCATTTTTCCCCTCTTGTATGATGGAATGAGCACTTCAGAAAACTTAAAAATAGTTAACTTAATATATACCTTGAGCTACAAAGATTTCCCTGCTCCGCCTTTAATGCTTCTGAAAAAAATCAAGACAACAGCTCTCACGCTTGAGGCTGTGGACTTACAATGGGCTATCATCCTGCAAATTTTCATGCTTATTTGGTATTCACCTATGGAACATTTGACTGTGAGAAATTTGACTTTTCGGGGTCCACTGGAGGAGCCAAATGAATATGCATTTCTACCCTTATTAAGCTCTGTAGAACAATTAATCTCTTTGGATGGCTCCATGAAAACATTAACTTTGGAGCATGTTCGTAATAAGGTTTATTATTTCAACCAGGAGATTCTATACAGACAGTTCTCGGAGATGAATATTGCCAATTTGACAATAAGTGATGCCTATATGCCACACATGCTTTGCCCCAATAGAACAAGCTCATTTCAGTATTTAAATTTTTCTCGCAATGCTCTGACAGATGAGTTGTTCCAGAATTGTGGCACTCTCATGGATCTGAAATTACTTATTTTGCAGAAGAATAAATTTGAGAGCCTTTACAAGGTAAGCTTCATGACCAGCCACATGAAATCACTGAAATACCTGGACATGAGCAGCAACCTGCTGCGCCACGATGGAGCCGACGTGCAGTGCCAGTGGGCTGAGTCTCTGACAGAGCTGGACCTGTCCTCCAATCAGTTGGCGGATGCTGTGTTTGAGTGCTTGCCCGTCAACGTCAAAAAACTCGGCCTACAAAACAATCAGATCAGCAATGTCCCCAGGGGGATGGTGCAGCTGGAATCCCTGGAAGAGCTGAACCTGGCATCCAACAGGCTGGCTGACCTGCCAGGGTGCAGTGGCTTTCCGTCCCTGCAGTTCCTGAACATAGAGATGAATTCGATCCTCACCCCATCTGCTGAGTTCTTCCGGAGCTGCCCAGGGGTCAGGGAGCTGCAGGCCGGGCACAACCCGTTCAAGTGTTCCTGTGAACTGCAGGCCTTTATCCGCCTGGAGAGGCGGGCAGGGGGGAAGCTGTTCGGCTGGCCGGCGGCCTACGTGTGCGAGTACCCGGAAGGCTTGCGAGGAACGGAGCTCAAGGACTTCCACCTGAGCCTGCTGGCTTGCAACACGACGCTCCTGCTTGTGACAGCTCTGCTGCTGACGCTGGTGCTGGTGGCTGCGGTGGCCTTCCTGTGCATCTACCTGGATGTGCCGTGGTACGTGCGGATGACATGGCAGTGGACGCAGACGAAGCGCAGAGCTTGGCACAGCCCGCCCGGAGGTCAGGGGGCCGTTCTGCAATTCCACGCGTTCATTTCCTACAGCGAGCGCGATTCGCTGTGGGTGAAGAACGAGCTGATCCCGAACCTGGAGAAGGGCGAGGGCTGCGTGCGGCTGTGCCAGCACGAGAGGAACTTTATCCCTGGCAAGAGCATTGTGGAGAACATCATCAACTGCATTGAGAAGAGCTACAAGTCGATCTTTGTGTTGTCTCCCAACTTTGTGCAGAGTGAGTGGTGTCACTACGAGCTGTACTTTGCCCATCACAAGTTATTCAGTGAGAATTCCAACAGCTTAATCCTCGTTTTGCTGGAGCCTATCCCTCCGTACCTTATCCCTGCCAGGTATCACAAGCTGAAAGCTCTCATGGCAAAGCGCACTTACCTGGAGTGGCCGAAGGAGAGGAGCAAGCGTGCCCTATTCTGGGCTAACCTGAGGGCAGCCATTAGCATTAACCTGCCAATATCCAGTGAAGCAAATGAGTGATGCTACACCTGCATCTATAAGTACTATACTACTTATAGTAGTATAAGTATGTAAATAACTGACTTGATTATTTTGCATTAAACTCTGTTTATTTTTTTTTTCTATTTTCTTACAATATTCCCAGTTTGTTACAAAATGTGGTACATATAGAAATTGCTATTGCTTATTTAAGCCATCCAAGTAGTCAGAGGTCACTTGTAGTTGCTCTTCATCAACAAAGAACGAGAGAGAAATTTTCAGTGTTTGACCTTATTTTTAGGTTGCATTTGTTTTGGACTTTTCCCATTGAAAGCTGTATTTGAAAGTAACAAGAATAGTGGCTGGTTTAGTGTAATCAGGCATACATTTAATCTTTGTTCTGATATGTATATTGTGAGGTTAAGAATGTAGGGATCTGCTTTCTTGGTTTTAATTAAGTAACATAAAGAAGAAAACTCTTGTTTGAATCCTATCCAGTACATTAGAATAGTAGATGTCAAGAGTACAGTATCTGCACCCTTTTAGCTTATTTTCCCTTCCTGCAAGTCTTTCCCTTCATCACAGAGAGACTTCCTTGGGTGAATGCTGAAAAGTTGAATCCATTAATCCTTGTTTGATGGTCTTCTTCCTTTGCTGTATTTAACATTACTACTTGCATTATCTACATTATCTAACATTATCTACAGATAGATACCTGCCAAGTCATGATTTCATAGAACTTGCTATTCACTGTCTTCAAATTCATAGTTAATACTATGTACTTATTAATTTTTATAATTTTGTAATATTGCTGCTTTCTGCTCTGATATAGCTCTATCAAGCTATACCAGGTTGCATGTTTTTTCTGTTTCCTAATACTTAGAAACTTGATGTTTGGAGGTGAACCCTCTTTTATCTCCAGGCTTCCACTGAACTCTGTTACCTTGCTCATTTAATTAGCAGGTGTTGAGGGTCATCACATAGGTGAAAAAAGAGTAATTTTCCCTTGGAAATAACTTGCCTGCTAAAATCTTACTGATTAAACTAATGGTGTTTGTTAGTAGGAGACATCTAGTAACCTGCTGTGCTTAGATTAGATTTGAGAGTCTAATAAACATCTCATTCTTTATCAGTTATTAAATTTCATGTGTCATTTCATTAGTGATGTGGAGTTGTGTCATTATACTTACAGCTTAATAGAAATGTAAAGTCCTGTGATCACAACTATGAGCAGCACATGAGGTGATCAGACTGATAAGAGGACGTGATCCTTAATGCTCACTGAGGTGGCTCACCAGCACACACCAGCTGTGGTAGCTAGATGAAACAGTGAAATTGAAGCTGTGGGAGAGCTTCCTGGTGTCCAAAGATGCCAAGACATATTGCATCTCACCAGAGCTTATCTGTCCCTGTCACTTGGGCCTGCAACAGGAGTGGGTCACACCCTAGGAGCAGGATGACCCAAGGTGTGACTACAGCACTTGCTATACGGCTTTTTGGCTGTCAGTCTGAGCTCTGAGGAGACAAGGACGAGAGGGAGGTCTTTTGCATGGGATAAGAGAGGATTTATTGCTCTGGGGAATATTGGGGGCAAAAGACAGAAAATGCGAGCGTGCAACAGATGAAATAGGGAGGTGGTTCAAAGGGAGGGTACAAAACATCAGCTAATCAGAGATATCCTGGGGAGGGTAAAAGGCAGGGTTCACAAAATCATCATCCAGTGAGGGAGGTGGGGGGGAAATTGGGTCACATGGACGAATCAAGCCTTGAAGTTTAGGGGATTTCCAAAGTGGAATTCCAAGCGTGCGGTGGGCCTAAGGTAGGATTGACAGGAGACTCAGGGTTGATTGACAATGTGGGGTGGGAGGGTCTCATTTGGACCAAACCATCAGCTTAGAACATACCATTAACAAAACACACTTCAACAAAGACACTGCTGGCTCCCACCTACCAGTTCAGGTTAACTGGATAGGATCACAGTAGGATGCCAGGTGCCTGGCTCCTGAGCTTTGGAAAGAAGAGCTAAAATCTCCATTAAATCTTAATTATCATTCAATTATTTCCACACTCATTAAATCCGTGTCTCTCCAATTTAGAGAGGAGGATGTTGTGGGGGACTATGTCAAAGCCTTACCCAGAAATTAAGATTTTGTAGGGATTAGGGATGCTGCTGGCAGAGAGGCTGGACATGACCCAGCCATGGACACAAATGTGTCCTGGGCTGCATCCAGAGCACCGTGGGCAGCAGGGCCAGGGAGGGGATTCTGTCCCTCTGCTCTGCTCTGCTGAGACCCCACCTGCAGGGCTGCACCAGCTCTGGGGTCCCAGCATAAGAAGAATGTGGACCTGTTGGAGCAAGTCCAGAGGAGGCCACAAAGATGATCAGAAGGCTGGAGCACCTCTTCTATTAGAACAGACTGAGAGAGCTGGGGTTGTTCAGCCTGCAGAAGAGAAGGCTCTCCATGGAGGTCTTGTTGAGGCCTTTCAGTACTCACATAGGGCTTGTAAGAAAGATGCAGACAGACTTTTTAGCAGGACCTGTTGTGATAAATCAAGGGGTACTGGTTATAAACTAAAAGAGGGCTGATTTAGGTTGCATATAAGCAATAATTTTCTATAGTGAGGGTGGTGAAACACTGGAAGAGATGGCCCAAAGACATTGTGAATGTCCCATCCCTGGAAACATTCAAGGTCAGGTTCAGAAGGGCTCTGAGTGATCTGATTTAGTTGAAGATGTCCCTGCTCATTGCAGGGAGTTGGACTAGATGATCTTTGAGTCCCTTCCAACCCAAGCCATTTTATGATTCTATGATTTTACCTCTCTAGCACTTCTTGACACTTTAAAGTGGGGAATGCTGCCAAGAAACTCTGCGCCCCTTCTTCCTGAAAGCCTTCTCCCTCTCCCAGACATTACAGCCTAAGGACATGATTAGCAGTCACACTTAGTGCTAATGGGCTAAAGGGCACATAGTCTATCTTGTTTACTAGAAAAGAAAAGAGGAAGTAAAATTTCTTAATTCAGGTTTTCCAGTCTCTGTAAATTTAATGCATCAGCAAACTGGGAGTTATGTCCAAAGTAATGCACAGACTGGGGCATGGAGGAGTCCCTCATCTTTAAGACTGCTCTGAAATGTAAGTTTTAGGTGGGTGTGAAAGAAGTTGTTTCTCAAGTCTGCCATGTATATTGTTTTTGAATATTAATGTTGTAAGAGCCCTTTATACTCTGTCCTTTTCACCTTGCAGATCTTTCGTGCACATGCCAAATTATTTCAGTTATTTACATACCATACCATAAACTACAGCTTCTTAAAATACACTTTTGAGTTTCTTTGATAGAACTGACTCGTTTTATTGTGGTGTGTTGGTTGGTTTTCTTTTTTAAGTAAGCATTTGACAACATTTCTTATCAAGCAACATTGTGTATTGCCTTAGTTAGTGTTCAGTCAGGCCAGAATTTTAATTGTAAAAGATACATTTAAAGTGTTTTTATGACTAAAAATTACAGTAAAGACAGAGAGATCAGTTTTAAATCCTTGAGCAGATTTCTGTGTATGACAGGATTGAACTCAGTGATAGCAAATAAGACAGACGGAACAGCTTAATTTCTCAAGTATGAGAAAATTAACATTACCTTAAATTACAATCCAATGAATTTAAATTTTGCCTTTTTCTCAGACTAAGAGGGACGCCCAGTGGCCATTGAAATTATCACTGCTTCCTGAAAGTGATCACTCAGTCTAGAACGTATGCAATGCTTTTTGACTCATAGGAAACCAGATAAATGTTATCAGCTCAGCAACTGGAGCTGAGCCTCTTGCAGGTGTGCGGGCTCCAGAGGACAGGTCAGGACGAGCTCGTCCCCGTGACAGCTGCCACGCTGGGTCAGTGGCTGTGACTCCCCTGTGCCATTGGTCCCTCCTGCCTAACCTTAGAAATCAGCAGTCTGATATGAGCTTTGCAATATGCAGTCTTTATTTTCAAGCAGGAGACCAAGAAATTCAAGCCAGTCATTTTCTCATATGCTGATTGCTGTTTGCAGGCTTTTATTTTTATGCCTCATTTCTGCTGTACTGCTTTCCCTTCTGTACATCACCATGGCATACCACAGGTGCTCACCCGGCTGATCTGCAAGATCCCAGGCAGCGAGAAACCAACATCCTGATGCAAATACTTCAGCAGAAATGAAAGTGTTAGAGATGCATAGTGAATTCAGCCAGGCTCCCCCTTCTCAGGCATCTGATAAGGTGTGAAGAAATAAAACCCCTTTCTTCTGCATCTCTAATCATCATCTCTCAGCACAGCCTGCAGGTGTGTCTGGAGGTGCACAGGACTCACGTGGAGATGTGTCAGCAGCCTCTGGCACCCCAGCCTGGGAGAGGCTGTGGGGCAGAGCCTGGCACCGGGAGCAGGCCCAGGCAGTCACCTTGTGAGTGATAAAAAAGGCAAACTCACGTGTTTGGTGCTCCACACCTGCCTATGGGCTAATTAGAATGCCCTAATTAGAAGCGAGTAAAACATTTTTATGAGCTTGCCACTAAGTGTGCTGCTCCTCCAGCACAAATTCCTTGTGTTCCTGCCCTGGGCCCCTTGGCAGGAGGCCACATGGGAGGTGGCCATGGGCAGGGCAGAAGGGCCACCCAAACGTCCAGAGCCACAGGGGTCTCCTCCAGGCTGCCTCCGACCCCAGCACGGCATCACTGCTCCTTGTCATCCAGTGCGTGATAACATGACCACCAACAACATTCTGAGTGTTTTATTAACAAGTATAATACATATGCACTGTATACTAAATATACTGAATACACTAAATATACTAAATATAGTATGAGGACTGTACAGTACAAATTTATGTTCACAGTTTGACATGACAAAATGTCATTACTGAATTCCCATTGGACTACCAAAGTAGAAACAGTGAAAGTACATTAAACATTCACATCTTTAGTAAGAAAAGATTACCAAAATGTCTCTGTATTTGCAAGTTATAGTAATGCACGCTAGAAACCTTTAATTAGCCATTTCGTCTTATTAGCTTATAAAATATATTACATTTTATTTTAAAAATTCTGCATAGTTTATAGAAGTATTAAAGTAAATAAAAATCCTTGCTATATTTGCAGGTGAGAGATGCTAAGCAAAAAGATTATTTTGACCTTCTAAAGTACATTAAGTGCTAACATCTGTAAAATATAATGAAAACTGGTGTAGCCCTCTTAAGAGATGTAAAATGCTTTGTAAATTTTTTAGAAAGGATTTGTATTCATCTATATGTTGCTAACCTTGACAGAGACGACATATTTGAACAAGATATGGCATTAGAGGTATCACTGCAGAATGCTGCGTCTATATTTAAATAAACTACATACATTAATACCTGCTTAGTTTCTTGCAATTGTATTAGAAACTAGTAATTTATTATAATCAAATGGCTTAAGCAGGCACATTTTAGTAAAACAGTATTACTGCTACACACTGCACAGTGCAATACTGTTAGGAAGTAAAGGGGGGTTTACATATTCTCCAGGATTAAGATTTTCTGTCTAAACTGGCTATTCTTCAGGGTATAGATGGAATGATTGGTTTTGGAAAGTATTTAATTGAGTATATTTAAAAATTGCAAGGTATCCCTCAAGCCCAAAGCTTGTTAAAATGAACCAATGAGCTGGTTAAGATGTAAATTTACATTCAGATAAAAGTGTATTTGTTTGTGACTTTTTAGACATCCCACAAAGACACCACAGACAAATGAAAAATCCTACAAGGAAGGCCTCATCATGTAATAATATCAAATACTTATATTTAATATTTAAATTTGTTGTCCTAATTCGCAAGACACATGGATGAAATTTGAAAGTTCCACTCAATCTCCACTGTATTTGACCCCATCATTAGCATAAATATTTTCAGGAAAAAGGTACATAAGATAATGAATTAACATGACAAATAACCTAGACTAAATTATCTGAAGTAACTCTTAGTTACAAAGAAGTTCTGCTTTTAGGTTTTAAAAAATATTGATTTAAAAAATATTAAAAAACATATTAATGAAAACATTTTATGTAAGCCTCAAAAGCAATACACAGCATTAGAAAGAAATGTTCCTTAAACATCCTTAATTTTCTAAATTTGCATTTTTAAGGTAAAAATGGGACCAGTTTCCATTAAGGTGCTTATATTTATAGTATCTGATTTTTTCCCCTCTACAACAGAACAGAGAAATGTTTTCATCCCAGGGTACTAAATGTCTGTAGACCTGTGACTGATGCCACAGGGCTCCCTCTACACAGCCTCTCAGCCCGTGATGTGTCTGGATTTACAAAATTACCATTAAAACCTAGAGCAAATTCTGCTACCAATGACAAAAAAAATGTAAAACAAGTCCACATTCTGGAACAGCTGCTCATTAAAATCAGTTTCTTTCCTACAAGTTTCTCAATGTCACTAACAATCTGGCCTACCAAGAAAGAAAAAAGACTGATTCACGTGCCAGGTGTTTCAGCACCACAGGTGAGCAGATGAGGCACTCACAAGACACCAGATATAGCCCTATGGAGGTGGTGAAGATGTATGGAGCTGAAACAGAGCAACTGCTGTCAGAGCGTTTTTCCACAGGAAGTACAGACCCCTCCTCTAATTTCACAGGCATATGGATGTCAGAACAGCTGGTAAAGCCCTATCACCAAATAAAGGCTCTTTGCACTCACACTCTTGAATCTTCAAGAGTTTTGGCATTAGGCTCCACTGGATACAGAAGCACAGTCTACCTGCTCCACAAGCTCAAATATACCCACCTGCAGATGGACACTCCACCTGTCTGCTGCAGAGTTCTATGAAACTCTTCCTCCCCTCACGCCTCCATTGTTCACTGATTTTTTCCACAAGAAAGGAAATGCTGACTTCAGTATGTTTAATGTACAGGGAATGGTGGTTACCTTACACCAGGCACGGAAGGAAAATGCGCTCGTGTGTGAGAGCATAGAGAAATACATCCTGTTTCCTTGCACACAAAAGAACTGACCAAAAAACTGTTACCTGCCACAAAGTCTGCCAGCTAATACAAACAGAAACTTTCCTTTCAGAGGGCTCCCAGACAGGAACATTTCTAGGGGCAACTGCAGGTTGCTTGAAATAAATTTCTTATACCTATGGAGTTCTGTTTGCTAATAGGCATGGTTTTAATGCAATAGACACATCCACAGGGAAGTAGTTGTACCTACCACCAAGAGACTACAAGAGTCACAAATCAGAGTTAGGAACTGGATGATTTGGTATAAGCTTTTATCCAAAACAGATACATGACTAAATTTATCATCAGAAGTACTTCAAAACTGATGCCATCTTCTCATAAAAACATTGTGGATCAATAATTTTAAATACTGTAGTGTATTGCAGTGGTACTCACAACAATACAGTTGAGAGCATTTTTGACTTAAGTTATTTTCTGAAGTAAAGCAAAGAGAAAAATTATTTAAAAGAAATGCAGGGGCACAATTGGAGGTGGATAATCTATATTCCTGAAATGAGGTGCAATAGGTTTCCATGAATGTCATTTAATGCCAAATCACAGGAGAGTACCATAGAATCACAGAATCACAGAATATGCTGAGTTGGAAGGGACCTATCAGGATCATTGAGTCCAACTCCTGACCCTGCACAGGACACCCCAAAAGTCACACCATGTGCCTGAGCGCATTGCCCAGATGCTTAGCTCAGACAGGCTTGATGCTGTGACCACTTCCCTGGGAAGCCAGTTCCAGTGCCCGACCACCCTCTGGGTGAAAAACTTCTTCATGGTAAACCCCCTTACTCAGCTTCAAGCCATTTCCTCAACTGTGTGTGTTCCATTCATACCCTTGCATAGAAACCAGACATACAGAGTCACACCAAGTCTTCCTTTAACAAATCCACTGGGGAATTATGCAACAAAAACAAGGATATATACTACACTATAATACAGATGACATTGGTTTAGATGCACAGTATTAGGTACGGACCAATTCCTGCCCATTTTTCTTCTTGACTGGGGAAAATGATACTATGACTCAATCTTTCTGTAAAGTAATTATACTGTTTAGATTTATTTCCTCAGCATTACTCACTGTTTGGGCAGAAGGGATTTCTAAATCAGGCGTCTTTCTAAAACTGTTGTATTAACCATACTGCAGAAATCAGCATATCTGGGAGAGTCCATTAATTGCATTGTTGAGCATAAAATGACAGTGTATCCCTTACAGGGTACATAAATAACAGTCTCTGGCAAGGACTAGCATTTCGGATATTCAATAACATTTACTATTTTATCAGTATATGCTGGGTTGATTATACGAAGAAACCAACAAAAACTGTTGGTTTAAACATTCCCTTATTCACAAATGAAATACAATAAACATACTGAATGCAGAAAGGGTTTGCTTAGCATCCCCTGGAGAAAAAAAAGAAGTGTTCACATTCTTTAGGTCTGACCCGTGGCAAGGACATGGAAGGGTTAGATAACATCTGTTACTGACCATACGTAAGCTTTTAATGGTATAAACTCAGAGATCCAGACCAGCTGAATCCAAATTAAAATGCATGTGTAAAAAACAAAAGAAGTGTGGCAGGAGTCAGGGACAGAAGACATTCAGACTAGCATGTGGCGTTTCCTGTGAAGAGCAAGATGGTCCGAACGTGAAAAGCTACGGTCACAGTCTGGACACTGGAAGGGTTTGATTCCTGTGTGCTTGCGGAAATGCCGCGTTAGTTCATCGGAACGAGCAAACTTCCACGTGCATCCCTCCCAAGTGCATTTGTATGGTTTTTCTCCTGGAAAAGGAAACACAGAAGCGGGGATTTAAGACATGAATGTATCAGTTTTGATCACGTAAGTTCACACATACATCTGACAGATTTATTCTTTGCATTGCCAAATTTCAGCAAGTACTTCAATGCTTACTCAAAAAGCCTCCAAACAGCTCAAAGCTGAAGAGTACTCTGCGCTATAAACTCTGTAGTCGAAGTTAACTGACCAAAAAATTGTCACCTGCCACAACTTACTTTTCATTGTCTCTCTGTTCCTGTCTCTGCCATATTAGCACTGGTTTTGTCTTATGAAACCCAGAAGGATGAAGGTTTAAGCATTTGTTCAAGTATTTTCAAAACATGGATCAAGTTTTCTAGATTTCTGGGGAAAAGGACTGTGCTACCATAAAGTACAACAGGCAGTAATCTTCTGATTTCTGAAACTGAATGTAGTGTAAATGACTGGCATCACTGTTGCAAGTACCTCAAACTCACTATCATTACTAATATGTCATCCTCCTCCTGTAACACCACTGTATTGCCCAACAGGTAAAGGGCTGGCTTGATGCACAACAGACATGAACTGGGCTCCATTTTTCCTAAACAAGGTATCCTTGCAAAAACCTTGGATATGCATATATTCATTCAGCATGCCAAGATGAACATTTCTGTGGAGAACAGAGATGGGGATGTCTGCTGGAACACTCATTCAGAAAAAAAGCACCACTGCACCAGTGGTTATCATCTCCACAGAGCAGATGCATTTGCATCTGGCATACAGTCCAGACTTCTGCAAACAGGCTACTCCCATGGAAACCAAAGTCAAATTTAACAGTGATGCCATAGGTGAGCCAGTGCAATTTGAAGTGATTTGGTGTTTACAGGGTGTGCAGATTGAGTAAACTGCAAGCAACTGGACACAAAATGAGTGAAGAACCAGTATGTAAAACACATCAGCATGCACTGTGAACCTGTTCTGGCTTACAGTATCTTGTTGTAGGTTTTTCTTACTATGTCCTCTATCTTTTTCTCAACCTATAATTATTTTCACAATAATGCCAGATCTACCTTCTGTCATTTTATTATTTACACCTGTGGTCATCTGACAATTAGCAGAAATTACAAGCTTAGCCCACTATTTCACCATAGTAAATTGAAGAAAGAGAAGAATATCTATGCTCAAACCTGTATGGGTTCTTCGGTGAGCTTTCAGGTGGGAGCTTTTAGTGTAGACTTTGTTGCAGCCTTCATAATCACATCGATGTATTCTGCGTTTTCTTTGTGTGTCTGGAGATTCCACAGGTAAAGGTCTCTTTCCTGGCTGAACTATAACTGAAGGGTGATTCCTGCAAAGTCAAATTAATGTTAAAAACATTTAGCACAGCAAACCTCAGCTAGTATGATTCATAACAGAGCCTTTTATTCATTACCACTCTCTCTTGGCAGAAAGAACAACATTACACGCATGTCGAAAAATTCAACAGAGTTTAGCAAATTTTGTGTATTTTAGCAGTAGTATTTTTAAATGTTTACTCACTTTGTGGCATGATGTAGCCATTTTTACTACTTGCTAGCTCTTTTTTAAAACTTACAGAGGAAAAACCCCCTTCAACTTTGTGTTTTTCAGTCCAACCTAGATTTCTTAAACCCTGAGTGAACTCTTCTTGTATTTGTTCACTATTTTTTTTCTTCAAATACAACTAATTTGATTGTAATTGGAAACAGCTATTCCATATTATTAAAGAAATTGTATCTTTAGGGTTTCAAAGCAGAACTCAATCTTTATTGTTCCAGCCACTCCTTCAGAATGTAATTAAGAATTTCCTGTTTGGTGCTGGCAGCAGGGTGCGGCCTCCCTGTACCACTGACGTCAATTCCTAAAAGTAGAGCTTAGCCTGCGTGGCACACCCACAGGATGTCTGAAGTTGTCCCTCCACCTTCATAAACATAATTTTTCATTTCAGAAGCCCACAGGTACAGTGCAGGTAAGACATATACAAACTACATACGGACTTTCGCAACAAACAAACCCATGAATGTTCACGTGTGCGAAAACACACAAGCTTCTTTGAAGGTGTCTTTGTTGAATGACACCCCTACCGTAGAAGTGGGGACAACCTTGATTCCTTCTTCCACATCAATCTTAGAAAATGTTTGTTTGTATGTTTGTCAAAAAGGTACATGCAGAGTGTAACGCGCAGATATTAGCATTCCTTGTTGCAAAACCAGCTCCTCCATGCAACAGAAAGGAGCTTTCTAGAAATTCCATCTTTTTTAAGTTAGTGTATTTCAGTTGTTTTTACCAATCAACTTATGTTTTGTAACACCAGGTTCTATTGCTTACTTACCCCAAGTTCCTTTAGGGCCTAATTTTCAGAAACACCGAATTCCTACTTCTCTCAGCAAAATAAAGGGCGTGTTTATAATAAAACATGTTTATATAAAATAAAGACAGAAAATCTTGTGCTTGGCTTAAGAAGGAGATTCTTCTATGACCCCACAGCAGTAGGATGGGAATTACTGATATGGGAAAAATTGAATTCTGTTATTGATTCTTTTCTTAAGAGTTAGAAGCTGGAAACTGGGAGCCAAATTCTCTTTCTTGGGTGGTTCTGTGACCATTGAGTGATGTACTCTTCAAGTACACATTAAATCTAGCTAAAAATATTATAGTGGCAGGAAACCCCAGATGGTGAAGTTAGACAGAGATGTACACACTCTTAAATAAGAAGGCAAGCTTCTAGCTTCCAAAGAAACGGCTCTCTAAAGCAATGCTCAGTTTTAATGCCGTTGCATACCAGTCTTTTTGGAGAAGCTCTGGCTTAGGACAGCAAACAGACTTGGTTCAAATCATTACATGTGGAGTCTAGTCCTGGACATGATAACATCTGGGAAAAGGGAGAAAAAGGATATTGGCCATACACCATCCATTTGTGATTTAGATTTTCAATCTACAAGTGTCTGGAAAAAGCACTGAAAATTTCTCCTTTTCCCCTTATGGGAGAGGAGGCTGGCAAGACAACCAAATGTTATCAATGATCAGATAGGGCATGGCAGTTTTAATAAATGGTTAGGGTGGTGTCAAATTCAGAGGTAAATATAAAGTAAGTGACAATAATAAAAGCACAGCCACAATTCTTTCATTCCCTCTTCTACAAACAGATGCAAGCTCACGTAAGTCTACGCATTTAAGTGTCACTCCTAAATAGGTATGAGTATCTTCCAAAAATTATGTTAAAACTTCAACAGCTTTTTCTTCTTAACCACAGACCACGCTATGTTGACAGCATGAGTTAACTTTGACACTTGTATGAAAATATGTTAATAAGGCTCCTTATATTTGGCCAGACATTATTTCCTCAAGTTTGATTTTAGACATAACTGCAGTTACATCAATTATCAGATGTACTAGAAAGTTCAGCCATCCCTACAGAAATGCCACCACCATTATTTATAGATAGATATACTGCCAAAAGCTACAGCAAAGTAAGTCACTTCAGTGAGACTAAAGGTTTCCTATGCCCCTTCAATGTAGCTTAGGTGTCTGAATAGTACACTTTGTGTAGTTGGAACCAATGCACAGCGATAAAAACTTCAATGCCTAACTATAGCTTGTAAAGCTGTGAGACAACATTTTTTTAAAATAAAGGTTTAAGTATCTCATCTTGTAACTTTTGTGAGTTGTCTATGCATTTTTTTTAATGATAAGAAATACAATTTATAAACTTCTTGGTTTGGACACAGAAGAACGTGAACTTGAAAGGGCTGGCTCTAGGAGCATGGACTAGATCTCCACAGGACTGCTATACAGCAATTTAAGCTGTTAAAATGCAAGGAGAGACTCTCCATGAACATAATACTCTGCATGGGCAAGCAGAGGAGATGCTTTGGAAACATGGACATACAAATGTTTTCTGTAACAAGGCTATCTACACGTTAATTCTATACCATTATATGTACCATGAATACCAATTATATACCATATAACCAAATTTTACATTCTTTGCTCAGTGAATGGGTTTCCTGGGGAAACTAGACCCATTGGGAAATAAATAATGCAAATCACTAATGCAGGTGACAAGTCTGCAGAAGTCTCAGCCCTGGAGGAAGGGTGTGGTACCAGCCAGGAACAGCACTTACTGGTTTGCTCTTGTTAAAGAGACTTAATGAAGACAAAAAATAAACTGAACCATTTGATAGTCATGACCTAGCAGTAGTTAGTTCCAGCTACATGTAGACCTACCTGACTCCCTTGTGTGGTAGGTCCAGTATGGAAGGTAAGTTACCAACTAGTAAACAGCATGTTTACTATTTTATGTTCATTACAATAAAACATTTAAGGTGATTTAAAAGAAACAGCATATAGTTTATAAAAGCTAGCTGGCAACTAACTGCAAAGAGCCTGCAGTCTAGGAGCTGCATCTAGACTATCTGAAGACAAGAAGGGGTGCCTACAAGAAGCCTGTTGTGGAATGTAGCCAGCCCTGGTGCTGTGGTGTGCTTTTGAACCCAATGGCCATGAGCAGGAGGAAGAATTCTAGAGGAAATAGAGGAGACCACCCATCCATCCTATGCTTTTCTGTCTCTCTCTGAACCATACTCACACTGGGTTTAGAGTGTCTGGCTTGAAGCTCCCTTTCCCTTGCTCTATGAGGTGAGGTCAAAGACAACCACCTCAAGGGTGACAGTGAGCAAGAAGGAAGTGCAAAAATGGATTCTGAGGTTCTGTGCTGTGAGTCTTGCCCAGCTCTCAACTTCAGTTCCTGCCACAGCCACACTGGCAGCCTGCCTGCCTACCCAGAGCATGGCCTGCTGAAGGATGAGCCAGGCTCTGGGTCATTCCATGGTTTTAGTAAGTTGACAGGACTTTCCCTAGGAAAACAGGAAATGGAAGGGTGCCCATGGCTCCTCAGGTACTTCCTTGAGAACTTTTTAATGTTTTCAATTAAAAGGTTTATGCCCCAGACCTAATTTCTTCTTCTAGCCCTTGTCCTTTCTTCTGCAAACAGCACTGTTTTAAAACCCATTATATCTATGATCCAGTTCATGCAGTGGCCCCAGTTACAGATATACCAGCACAACGAGTTCATACTGGGATGGAAACAAGTTGCCATGAGGGAAGAAAGCCTCAGAACAATGGCCTCAGGTAAAAATGCAATTTCACTGGATATACACAGAACTTGTAAGCCTGAAGAGGCTCTTCCCACCAAGTGGGCAACACTTTTGAAAAGACAAAGAGGTCCTCCAAGAAGAGAAAGTCACAACACTCATTTTAAGGAAAGGTATTTCAAGTAACTTCTTTCAATTTTGCTGCTGTTCTTATATAAGTAGGTTATCACTGGCTCACTGGGAGTTCTACTTTCAGTAAATCGTGGAATTGGAAGCTATCATCACTTCAGTAATGCATTGTATAAATGGCAGATCTATTGCGATGTATAAATATGTATCAATTCCTCTATTGCTGAGTAAGGGAGGAAAGAAAATTGAAATCACATTTCACAGTGACAGTGGTGGGAGGGATGAACGTTTTCCAGTATTTTATCACATGTTCAAAACAACACAAATCCTTCCCACTCCTCAGAATGGAACTACTTTCCACTCCTCTGCTGATCTTGGGACTAGTGTTAGCTACTTACTCTTGCAACATTACTTGCTGAGGAGACAACGAGGTCATCATTGGAGGTGACATTTGTTCAGGATAGAAGTCAGTCTTCGATGGTTCGCTTCCTGGCTCTACTTTGATTGTTTTCTTGAGTGTGGGCTTCTCATAAGACTCAATGACAGGCACTGTATGGGAGAGGGTAGGAAAGGGAAGGCAACACATAAAAATTATAAAGAGTTATGAAGAGTTATGGAAATAAATAGTATACATAAAAATCTGTAGTTAAAAAAAATCTACCAGTTCTACATTTACTGTGACAATTTATACTAAATACAGAATCTTTCAGTTTTAGTTATCTCCTGATGAACTCTGATTCAAAACATTTCTATTCGTTTTCATCAGTCTTATGTTATTATCAGTCCAGATCTCAGTAGATCAATAGTTTATGTAGATACAACAAGTGCAACAGAGCTGGTGAAGGGTCTGGAGAACAAGTCCTGTGAGGAGCAGCTAAGGGAGCTGGGGTTGTTTATCTTGGAGAAAAGGAGGCTCAGAGGAGACTGTACAACTGCCTGAAAGAAGGCTGTAGCCAGGTAGCAGTCAGTCTCTTCTCCCAGACAACTAGAGACAGGACAAAAGAAAATGGCTTCAAGGTGCACAGGGGAGGTGTAGTTTGGACATTAGGAAGAATTTCTTCCCAGAAAAGGTGATTAGACTTTGGAACGGGCTTCCTAGGGAGGTGGTGGCATCACTGTCCCTGGAGGTGCTTAAGGAAAGACTGGCTGTGGTGCTCAGTGCCACGGTGTGGTTGACCAGGTAGTGTTCAGTCACAGGTTGGACTCAATGATCTCAGAGGTCTTTCAAATTTAACAGAGTCTGTGACGCTATGACCTTGCTAAGTCTGGTAAAATATTTACACAACAAATTCTATGCCTGTTTATTTTGGAAGAACTGGAATTATGTTCCACTTTTTAAAATGCAAACAACCCACAAAAACCAAGTGCTTGGATATTTGTGTTATTTTGTTGGGATGAGACAGCATAAAAAGGAATTCTGACAACACCAACCTTGCATGCTACTTGGAGTTTCCATCTCATCTGCAAGAACTGTGGACACCATGATGGGCTGCTGGAGATGGGGAGCATACATGAAAGGAACTGGCTGGACCACAACAGGCTGTATAACTGGGAGTATCCCAGGGCTTCTCAGTCCGTGTCGTGAAAGAGCAGCGGCCATTACAGGCGGGATTGTGATTGGCATAGAAAGAGGCTGTACTCCTGGGGGCGATGGTGTGAATTTACTGAGAGGTGAGCTGGGTGAGGACAGAGTCAATCCAGGTGAACTTCTCCTATGCGCAGTCTGAAATTTTAGAGGGGAAGGAGAACTTCCAGTTGAAGGTGGTGAGCTCCGTTTATTTACCGTAAGGTCTACTGGCTCCATCTGGATTCCATTTGATAGTCCTTCAGGATTTGAGTAGAATTTATTGTGCAACATACTTGGTGTAGAATAAATGACGCCGTATTTGTTTGGTTTCATTTGGTCCAGGTAATTGGATGGGTATGACTGTCAGAAAGAGTGGAAAAGAAATACAGAAAATCAAATAATAAATCAACACATACACACAGCTACTGCTGAAAAAGAAAGGCAGCCACTAAAACAGGCAAAATGAAAAAGTTTCAAAAAAGCACATTAATGTACTTTCTAAATAAAAGTGAATTAAATAAGGGTTTAGATTCCACACACAGGAAGTTAATCAAGTTCTGATTCACTAACTGCTTCAGAAGCAATGTAAAACAGATTATGAAAACAAATCTTCAAGGCTTATTCAACTACATTTCTCCCTTTAAAACTGCCTGTCATATATTCAGCTATACCTTTCTTATCTGACCTGAGAGATACATCTGCTATGCCAAGCACATAACTATATACTGGGGATCATCAATTCTGGCAAGAGTGGAGTACAGTTGAGCTTAGAACTGCAAGTAATGGGTCCCAATAAACTGCTAAACTAATTGAAAAACAATCATCACTAAAGAAAGGAATTACGAATCTGAGCCCTACAATCAATACAAAATACTCAGCTGAACTATGTAAGTAATGGGTGAGAAACTCAAGAGTACAAAAGGTAAAATCTAAACCTTTGTAAATGATTTTTTGAGATGTAAAGCATATAACTAGCCAGTCTAATATTGCAAAATGAGTACAAGGATAAACATTTTGTGTTGGAAGAATATCCCTGTTAGTGGTAGCTAGCAGTTTCCATGACAATATAAATCCCAAAGTTAATCTTGACCTATGTGATGATCTCCACAATTTAGTAGTAACTTATATATATACACACACATATATATATGTATGTTTGTATTATATAAGTAACACACCTGTATCTAGAGATTTTTGTAAACAAGGAAGTATTAACATTAACTGCAAAGTGCAGTATTATTAAACAAATATCCAGATCAAGACTGCATTTAAAAATTGTTGAAAACTGAGGTTGTTTACTAACAGCTAACTCACAAGGATTAACTACGTTTAGTTACTGTGTCTCACTGCTAACACAGCAGTGAGACACAGAAAATGCAATGCACACATTTTTAGTTGTGTTGTCACCTTTTTGAAATAAAATGCTATCTTTGGATTTTAGGTAAGTAAACTAATATTAAGAAACTAATTACTTATTTGGCACCAAAAATATTTTGATGAGTGAGATTTCACAAATGTTCAAAATGGTATAAAGTAAAACGGATCAGAAGTATAAAACTACTGTATTTTTATAAAATTATTTTGGTAATTATTTCAATTCCTTTTCTTCCTGGGGTGAATGCTTCTGTCACTGTCAGTACATCTTCCTGGTTTCTTAGCTCTGTCTTCCCTGTGAGGGAACACATGGCTCATTTTAAATGTCAATGTTAACTGGAGGTATTTTTATAAAATGACACAAATGTAATTTTCTTCTTTTCAGTAACTGTTTGAAACATTGAGTTTAGAAAATATTAGATTTTCCTCCTGCATTCATAGCACTGTGAGAAAACAACAAAGCTGAGTCAGTCCATAAAACACTCAAATAAAGCAGCACACACAGTGGTGATTAATCTTCAAACAGTAAATATTACATTAAAATCTCTGAAAGTTATATATTCTCTTTATGACTATTCTTGTAAATTTCATCTATAGAAATATTCATTTTTGATGGTAATTAGTGTGTCAGAATTTTATTAAATGCCACTACTGCAGTCTACTGTCTGTAGACTTGCCAGCACGGCTCAACCAAGCAATGAAACTATTAGCACTCTAAATGATGGAGACCACTAAATATTGATATAATTTAATATTTAACAGCATTTAGTATCTATTAAATCTGATCAAATTATGGGCATGGCCAAAAAATCAAAATTTTTACAGGTAAGAAACATTAAATACTTCCGTTAAAAACTCCTGTTATTGGTTTACAGTACAGAGCTCACCCAGCTTTAACAAACTGTAAACATTCCACCACTAAGCATCAGTGCATTTACATTGCTGCAGGCTTGTCAGTGATGATCACAATGTCATTGCCTATGAATTTTTCTTCCATTGCAAGAATGCTAAAAAGGAAAAGGCCTGTGAAATTTAAATCTCTAGGAGTGTTTTTGGCCAATGAGTGTATTAAAGAACAAGCATCCCTAGGTGCAACCTTCTCCTAACACCTGGTTGGAATTTAAGGAATAACTGTCTGCATGCTCACACAGTTTTGGATGGGTGAGTAAAAATGCCGAGATTCAGTCACATACAAAGATAAAACCCTGAAGTAGTTCCACAGGTGCTCTGTTCCTTTGTAGCTGTGCATTCTGCAAGGCCAAAGACTGTAAACATTTCTAGCTGAACCTGCTTATATATATTATAACACTTTAGACCCCATTATGTTATATACTGCATTGGCAATATTTAGATACTGTATTATCACTAAATCTAATCATCCTGACCCACATAATCAGTGTCATACTTCTTGCACCCGACCAAGACTTCTCTCTATTACACTGCTACACAGAGAAAAAAACTGTTTATTCCAATTCAAACAAAAAAGCAACTTGTTTCACCAAGTGGTAACTGGTATTTGTCCAAATGTTTCAAAAGTCCTCGTACCAAGAGGTAGTCCTTCTGGAAGGACTTGGATGACTTTGTCAGTAGTTCATTCAGAACTATCGTAATATATATTCAATAATTCATTTCAATACATGACATGAGCTGTTGGTAGAGTGATGAAACAGTGTGGGTGCAAGCCTCAGTCACCTGAGAAGTATAGTTAATCCTTTCAGCCACACACCCTGAAATACAGTGCTGTCAAAAACATTACTAGTTTCCTCCTTCCACTCCAATTACTGCCATACTTTAAAGACAAATAGACTTTACACCTACAGCGTACATTCAGATGGAAGACCAAGTTATTCCTAAGGGGCTTTATTTAATTTGGCCTCTAATTATTCTATCAGAATTAAAGATGCAATACAAATAATCCTGATTTTAGATTTCCGGGTTATGTTAGCCCATACTGCTCTGCTTAGCACCTCTCAACATCACACTAACAGTTTCTTATTCCACCTCCTCAAAAGATGGTCAAGAAAGCTAACTCACTCAGTGGCTGCTATCCTTTCCCTGTGCTCTCTCCATATCATAGTACCTCCCTTTAGAGGCGTCTCATGGGAAGTTTCTGCTGTGGCACCAGGGCTCCAAGGAAGCCACAAGACCAAGAAGAGCAGGGGGGCTTGAGGGCTTGCGGTTAAGTGGCCTATGTGCGTACAGAAGCTGAAACACACACAGTCCTCAGCCTGAGGGAAAACAAAGTAGTGCCCAGTGATGGAAACTTCACTCAGAAACCATACTTTCCTCTGGACTTTCTGCTTTTTCTTTTCTGCCTTTTTTTTTTCTCTTATGCAATGGCAAAAAGAAAAACATACAGATGTGGTAAAATGCTCTGAGTAGTCTTTAATAGCTGGCCAGAGTGATTACACTGACTTATGAGAAGACTCCAGAGGTCCAACGCATGGAAGGCACCACATCACTAGGAGAAGGATATAATACAGACTAACCAATACTTGGAACTCTAGTCTTGAAATGCTCTTGGCTCAGAAATGCTCCCTTGCTCTTCCCACTGCAGTTTTTCCTTCATCTGCTGGTCTGGGAAAGACTGCTGGCTCCTCTCTTAGCGTGTCTTTTGAGGGACTGATCTTGCCCATCTGGCAGGAGCACCTTACTGTTTGGGGCAGTTATGTTACTTGTGCAGCACCTCAAACCACTGCATAATCTTCTTTGGGAGATGAGGGCAGACATGCACAGAAAGCAACCCAGAAGACAGCAATGACACCTCTTTTGTAAAATTGACCTCTTCTCTGACTTCAATGCACACCATCAGATAATCTTAGACTACAATACATAATCACCACTAACCTTAACATAGTTACACAATAACTGTGATTAAAGTGAGAGACAGGCTGGCCAATACTAAAGTTCTTTTTTCCCAAATACTGAAATTTGTCATACTCATACTTTCAGTGACAGGTATTTTTCTATCATTACTATCCAGCAAATAAACCCCACGAAAGTCAAACTGTAATTTTAAAATGCAGATAAATTCCACTCCCAGAAGTGTTATTAATAGCACTGAAGAAATCAGCCTGCTTACAGATGCATTTAAATTTATGAAAATTACTCTTTATTTTAAATAAAACAGGAAACAAACTTTCCATTGAAAGATGCCATTCAGAGCACAATGCACTCTGAGTTATGTACACTGACTTCACCCTTCTAATAGATCAGCCGTTCTAGGGGTGTGGTTTCATGTTACACTTAATCTGTTTTTGCAGGCTACTGCTGAAAGGGGAGGTCCTGTTCTCTCATCCCCCCTTCCCTTTGCTCTAATATTGAGCAGCTGCACAGAGTGAGTCAGATCAGCTTCCTGATCTGACCATAAGATGAGTATTTTTGGTGGATTAGCAATTCTGACCATTCAGTGAGCTGATCCAAAGGTTCCAAATCATTCCAGGACCACACAATTCCTCAGTCACACAAAGGAGACACAAAGCTGGTATGAGGGAGCAAGGTCAAAACCTTTCCTTTCAACAGCAACCTGTAAAATCACAATTCCCATTGTAGTGCTCCCACCTATGTGTCCCTGCTGCTGTTACTTACCAGATTCTTCTCTGAGATGACCCTCTAAGTTCATGGAAAATCAACCCAATTTTAAGGAAGTGTCTCCTCTTCCCCTTTTTCCGCCACATTCCTTCTCCCCTAGTTCTCATTTGCTCATTTGGTAAAGTAGTGCAGCCAGTTTACCCAGCAAAAAGCCATTGTTGGTTTGGGTTTTTGCAAGATTAATTTTCTCCTGTTTAGAGTAGTTAGCCATGGGCATGTGCTACCACAAGCAAGAGAAAAAGAGAAAAAGGCACAGCAAGAAGCTGTTCACTTACTTCAAAGGTGTAACATTGAAGCCACAGGCTATTGCCACTTCACCATGAAGCATGGCAACTTCATTTCAACCTCCATCAGCAGCATAAGCTACAGAGATGATGTTTACAGAGCAGTGGCTCAGGAATATACGGATGGTCTCTCCTCTCATAGGCAACTGGTCAGGTCATTTAAGGCAATAAAGTAATAAACTACAGAAAGTTTTCCTAGAACGTGAATCTGATTGCACTAAGAGCAAAATATAGCTTCACATGCTTTCCTAAGCTAGTCCAAAGCTTTATTACATCTCATTATGATTTTAAAGGTGGAAAAACTATAGTCATCTCTAGGGCAATATATTTGAAAAGTCTTACCACTGAAACAGGCTCCATGGCTTCTTGCTTGATAGGGACTGGGTCAAACATTAGCATCTTTTTTATTCACCTGTTCTGATGCCTCTGAGGTTCTGTCCTATTGGGGAAAAATAAGGTGTTAGAAAGCCACAGGAAATACCCAAATCAACTTTCTGAATTGTAGAGAATTTACTATTTTGTCAGATTAATGTGAATATTTATTTACATTAATATTTTATTTAACACAGATTTTTAAATCTTTGACTGAATTTATTGCAGTTTATTGGGGTTTTTTTTCTAAATTGCTATCGAAACAAAGGAGCTCACTTTAATGAAAGTCAAACTGAATTTTTATTGTGCATGCCAGCACACCAAGGCCACAGAATTTTGACTTTCATTAGCTGTCAAGTGTTTTAACACATCACAGTTTAGACCAGACATTTCTCATCAGCATTACGACCTCAGAATAATCTTGTTTATACAAGTGAACTGATTCTGGAGATCTCTCTTTCCTAAGAGTCCTAATAGAAACACTCAATAGATCACATACAGTGACACTCTTATCAATGCAAAAAAACAAAACGAAACAAAAAACCATTCAAATTCAAGACTTAGACTACATTCAACATGCTACAATGACTTAACAAAAAAAAAAAATCCATCAGTTATTATAATGTAATAGATTTAGTGACAATTCAAGAACCATTTGTGCTAACTGTGCAAAATAAAAGCACTTAAAATCTGCTTGCATTCTGTGCAGCTTCAGGGTTTTTTCCTGACAGTGTTCAACCTTAATTGTCCGATCTCTAAATGCCTGAAATAAAAGTATTTAGCATAAAGCATGTCATAACTGTCATACTACACATTTGCCATGGTCATCTTGGAAAGATACTGGGAAGGAAAGGAGTTACCTCTTCTGGGTAAAGCCATAAGGGTACACAGAGAAACCAGGGGGAAGTGAAAGGAAGTTGTTTGCAATGACATTTAGATGTTGCCAAGCTGTTTATAAATCACTCAAGGTTATCTATTATATGACTGATGTCGAAGAAGCAAGTTCTGACCGTACACCACAGACTTTACAGCCCTGCCTGGAAGCGGTACGAACTCTTTTAAGATGCGAGGACAAAAGTAAATGACACAAATTCAATTAGGCCAGTAGATGGCACTGGAAAGAAGCAAATACAGCCAGACTCCACCATCCTCAGTTCACCCCGCAGGACAGGCTGAAGGCTCACCTTCATTTACAGCTGTGGCTGGGAAATTCTCCCAGAAATGTAAATTTAAAGATGTATCTGCTCAAATTAAAACAATTCTAATAAGCCAACGCTAACGAACAATTTTGAAATTAACATGTGTTTGTAGATCAAAATTCATTAAGAACTTCCCGAGAAAGATGGCATGAGTTGTTGCAAGTCTACCACTAGTTATTCAGGTACATAAATAAAGTTTAAAGACTTCTGGAAATATATTACAACAGTGTGTACTTTGAATAATGGAAACAAACAAGTAGCAGAGTAAATTATAGTATCTTCATAATTCCCCTTATAGAAGTTTAAGGCCTGACAAAAACTAATTGCAAAAACTAAAGTGAAACAAATAATGCAGCTTAATGCAATTTCCAGTTTAAACTTGGTATGTAGTTTTAGTTTGGAAGCAGTCATGTAAAATGGCACTATTTGCTAAAAGTTGTGATAATTCCATAAATACCTTAAGTATGTTAGTGAGAAGGTTATTAATTATACTATTTTCTTTGAATGGTTATTATAGTTTATATAACTGTTAACTAGTTATCCTTTTTCAAGTTTCAACATGTCACATAGCTGGAACTTGTGTTTCAGAATACTGACTTCCCAGAAATATATCCATGTATCTATGCATCATTCATACTCTCACACATTCATCCACATTGTGAAAACAGGAAAGTTGTACTTTTAAGCATGAAAAAAGTTTACAGCAAAATGTAGGCACTCAGAGCTCGGAACTAATTCCTTTCAGGTTTCCACAAACTTTTGATTTTTAGCTTGTATGTGCATAGATAAAGTAACACACCAATTTGTACTTTAGTGAAGGAAGAATGGAGAAAAGAAATGAAAGAAAGAGACGAGAGAGAAAGAGAGAGTGAGAAAGCAAGCAAGCTTTGTTCTAAGTAAGAGAAAGAAAGAAGTTTGTTCTACGTAAATGCAATGCTCATCCTTTCTGTAATTTTTGTAATTCTAAAACTGCATTCTCTTCAGTTTAAGAATGACTCCTTTTCACCTTTTACTCCAAGAAAGTGTGTGAAAAGACACTAGATACACATTTCACATGTCATACTACACATTTCAGTGTTTCCTGAGATAGCTCTAAATCACTGTGAAGGAATTAAACTGACATAGACAACAGGAAGTGTACTACTCTGAACAAAAGTGAAAAGCAATTCTCAATCTTTCCCAAGTGCAGTCATCTAAGAAAGCAGAGGAAAACTTTACTTTTATGTTTACTGTACTGCATTGGAATATAGGAATCAAGCATTCCTATATTCCAATCATGTTACTCTTAAGCAGGTTTCTTTTCCCCATTTGATAGTAACTGGAAACCAATTTTTAAGAACGGAAAATTAAGATGTTACGTTTGGTCCTGTAAGACTGCTACAGAGTCAATATAAGTCATCTTTGGCATTTAAAATTTAGCTTAAAATGATGTTTTTCTAAGGCTATAAATAAACTCACAAAGGACTCCTCTTTGTATTTAAAAATAATGCTCCAAACTACTAGCTTGGACTACACTCATAAGCAAGTATGTGCATGTACACTCACACACTAATAAAGCATGGTACTTCTACTAAGAAGTAGGTAGTTTTTCCCAGTATATTTGTAAAATCATGCCTACTAACTCAAAACTTCTCAGTCTCTCTCAAACATTTGAGAAGGGGGGCAACAGGGAAGGAAGGTAAACAGTCTTATCTGTTCCTACTACAGAGGAATGAAAAAACAGTTGGTTTATACTTTACAGAGTGATTTCAGAATGTGCTTGTTTGAAATCCTGCAAATTGTTTAGTAGAAACAAATAATTTCTGGAAAATCAAAATACCATCTCTCATTCCTGAGGTGCTCTTGAAAAACTGTTGAGGTGACAACAATATATTCATGTTAAATATATTAAAAAATAAGAACTTTTGTCTTTGACTTTTTTAGGTAAACTATTTTGCATTAAAGGGTTTTCTCATGTGAGGTGAAAGAATTTAAAATGAATGTAATCTGAAACTAAATAATTAACTGCAATCCAGTAAGCAAACATTCCACCCTCTCTTTTTTTTGCTCTGCCTCTTTTTTTCTGCTAACAAGCCACCCAGTTTTACTTTCTTGCCTCCTCCCATTCACTCCACCCTGTGGATCTCGGCCAAGTCAGTCCAACTTGTCCAAACAGGACACGGCTTTTGATAAGATTTTGCTCACACCCTGTACTTCAGAAAGACGAATGAAGCAACCGGGTTTTGTATGCAAATAAGGACAGGTGCAAGGTGAAGTCCAGGCAAAGTCCATCACTACTCTCCTATCTGAAGTCCAGTGAAGACAGCACCCCAGAAACAACACAAACTGTACCCTTATGATCCAATATACAGCAAGGTATCCATTTCAGAAGGGAAGTTCATTATCGTTAGAGCTCATCACCTTGTCAGGATGGAACACTTCTCAATATTAACTTCCTGATAAGTGTATGGTTTATTGTTTCAGAGACATAATTAAGGTTAAATGAAAGCTTAAAGGTACTTAAACATGTATTTTGACAATAAGGGCTTGTATGGATTATTTACCCTGGATGAAACGTGCTAAGTGGCTAAAGAATGCATTCAGACTACACATCTGCACTGCAGAGCAGCTGAAAAAAGGCAACCACAGTGCAGCTACTCCCTGTACCCCTGCACATCTATCTTCAAGGTCCACCAACTCTGCAGATCTGTTATGAAAGGAAAGGGTGGGGTGGAAGGCCACTTTTGACTGTGCACATTCACCAACAAAGGTTTATTCCAATATAAAGCCCATGCTCTCATTAAATATCTGGAAGAGCAGTCAGAGACTAACTTTTGTTGCAGACAGGGGGGCGATAACCATACATTCTGCCCCTCTTCACTCTGAGAACACAGGGTTTATTTCCTCAGTCTTTGTGCCTGGGGGAAACAAAGGAATGCTGCCTCATGTACAGCAAGTCTCTGTCTAGAAGCTTCAAGGTATGATTGCTATTGTCAGTATAATTACAGAATAATGCAATGGTATCTGCTAAATTAGCACTGCATGAGTGCCCTCTGCAAGAAACTGCAGCTCTTGCAGCACTCCTTGAATCCAGCAGCAAATACTGTCACATTGCAAAAGCTCTTCAGTCCAAGCACTTCGGGACTCAGGCCTGTTGCTCGGAACATACAACTTCTGTCAATCTCAAGTGAAACTTCCTCTGATACAAGTGAGAAGCAATAGTATCAGAAGAATCTCCACTGATGAAATTCAAAAGGAAAAGGAGGTTTTCTGAACGCAGGTGAAAAGTCGTCTTCAGTGGAACCTCCAAAGAGTTTGATAGAGAAGAACCAGTTTCTGAGAAAAACATTCCCTGCAGAAGGTACAAAAGCTGTTTTCCAGAGCCCATAACGTGTTTGCATTTACCACTTGCTCATCAAGACCTGAGTCAGCAAAAAAGTGTTTCTAAAGTTCCATTAACTTTAATGGGAAGTAAGCAAGTGCTTAACTGCACTTGACCCCAAAATAGCAGCAGGAAAGAAGCTCTCCAGCTCAGCACAGCAGTCAGACTCAGCCAAAGCAACAAAAGTCCAGACGTGGTGCTGTGGGAAGAGACCAGAGCAGCCAGACCATGAGGAACAGAGCAGAAGGAGAATAATGAAGAACCAGCACACCAAAAAAACGTTCTAGTGAGCAACAGTTTTCTGTGTTTGTTTATTTGCTGGATTTCCGCTGGGTAACAATAATAATTGTTAAAAAATGTTAGAATATTTTGTAAAAGAAAATGGTACCTAGGCAAACATTTTCTCCTTGAAGTTTTATTTATAGGCATTATGAGAAAGAGCATTTCTACAGAATTCTAGTATTTAGTATTTCAAACCGTATTTGCTTCTTAGCAAAGAGTAGAAAATCTTTTATCTTCCTTCTTTCAGGACTGCAAGCAGGCTGAAAAATTTGTGGTTTTGTACAACCTGTGCATCCTAACTTTGTTGATGTCATCTTGATTGACCTAGAACTGCTTTGACATGTAGACTAGTAAGTATTTCAATTAAATTTCTGATAATACTGTTGCAGGTTCTTTTAAGTCACATGTCTGGAAATGGCTGTCTTATATGTAAAAATCTTGGGAAAAAATATTCTTGAAGTGCTTGTTAAGAAATTATCTTCTTTACCAAGAAAAAACGGAGCCCATGCAAACCCTTTTCGACCTTCAGTTCTATACTTACTGAACCTAAGAGAAGAAGGAAAAGCTCTTGAGGCACCTCCATTAGACAATATTCTCCCTTATCAAGGCAGGCTGCTGTCTGGTTTCCTGTCTCAAGCTACTTCTTAGAAGGAGAAACAGTCTAGTAAGGATAAAAGATCAGACTTTTGAAAACAAATGAAGTATGTGGAATGGTATGATAATCTTTCCCTTCCAAACTGAACTTCACTTTTGTCATGTTTTTCTTAAGAGGTTAATTTTTAAGATAATTTAAAAGGAGAAATATTACGTCTTTTAATTGTGAGGGAAAAATGTCAAAGTATTGTTCTCTTATGTCTTATATGCTCCTGCTATTTCAGGAAACATGAAAAGAGATTCAACATTTTTATAGATTGATAAAGAAGAAAGAATATCTAATCCTAGAGAAAGGAAGTATGCATTTATGAATAACAGCCTAAATGATTGATTTGAACAAGAAGCTGAATACAGGGCAAATGGTGATGAACTTTTATGAAGCTAGGGGAATGAAAAAAAACCAACCAGGGAAAAGAGGTGGACAGTGTAGTGGGTACAAATGTGACAGTGATCAAAGCAGCTTAGACTCTTTAGAAGTGGAAACTCTGTCATGTCTTCATGGATCAATTTAGTTGGTTGGTAACACACACTGACTGCTTGATAGGCAGACCATGCATTTGATTGGAGGTTTTTTCCCTTCTGAGTTAGTTAGCTATTTAAAACCTGTTGGAGCTTTGTCTTTCCATTTGGCTGATCTACACTTACACTTCCTTCCCCTGGGAGATATCACCTACAGCTAAAACACCCTCAAAGGAAGCTTTGGCATCAAGTGAATGCTTCACAGGGAAGAGTTAAATCTCTCCTAAAACAAGCTCTGCCCAACTTCATATTCTGGATTGGAAGCAACTAGCCTTGGAATGAAAACACAAAGATTCAACGCTGACAGCATAAAAGAACTCTAAAAGACCTCCTGTTAGCAATGTTAATTAATATTTAAAAGTTGGTTTACAAAAATTATTTTAATTTTAACCTCAGTTCCCTATTTTATAGAACTTCTGGCTACAAAATGGTGTGAACCACAAAATCTACTGCATTTATTATACAGCAATTTCCAATATTAAACACAGTTAAATGCAACTCTCTCTGTCAATGGACCAAAAAAAAGATTAACTGCTTGAAATCTTGGACAAATTAACAGTGTAAGAATTAAAATATGTAATCGTGTTCTAATGGGTAAACTCATCCATGGTGTTCTAAAATGAACAGAAAAACGATAAAATAAAAACAACTGAGAACAAAATATTAAAATATCAATAAACAACTTACCAAAACTGTGTAGTCAAATACTTCTTTTTATCTGGATTTCTGAAGAGACAAAAAAGTTTGCTGTAAGTATGTGCACAAAATCCAATAAATTTTTTTTTCAAATACAATTAAGCTCTCAAGGAAGTATAAACTGTGTACTTCGGATACTTCCTAAAGATACCTTCAATAATCTCAAGCAGCTAACCTGTAGCATCTAGAAGAGCAAGAGAAGGAACTAAGACTGCTTTAAAAATGACTGGGGGGGGGAACCCAAAAAGAGTAAAATTAAAGGGTGGAGGTATTTCTGTGTGTACAGAAACCATACATATATTCAAGTCCATAAGAGACAGAGAAGAATAAATAGTCCATCTTGCATTTTCATCCAGGGCACACTGAAGTTAATGCAAGTTTTTCTCTCAATTTCAATGAGCTTTGGCTTGGGTCTTTTAGCTCTTCTTCTGTCAGATTCAAAGCAACAAAGATTAATGTTTTTCTCAATTTCCTCTCAATTTTTCACTACATCTGCCTGCAACAGGGTGGGGGGGAAAGATAAATATAAAAACAGGAGTAAAACAATTACTTATATGTCTTCAAAAATGCAAAATGTGGGACAGCAGTAATTAATGCCAAAGAAAAATGAGACAGCAGTGCCTCAGTTTCTGTATTACATCTGGAAGACAATGAATCTTTTAGCCTGCACAAGGAGAAAATACCTACTCCTTTTGAGATTTGGAAATAAGAAGTGTTTATAGTGAGCCATTCAGGTTGAGTAAGGGCTGAAGTCAAAACCCTCTCACAACTATGAGCCTACAGATGTAGACCTTCTTACTTATACTCTTCCTGTACCAGTGCAACTCTATGACTTTAATGGAGCTATTCCAGATCAGCTGATGAGCAAGTGAGAGCAGAAAACTGGCTCACAACTTTCTGGGGACTTGAGTTCAAGTTTTCAGCGAACAGAGCTAACCAGTTCACCCCCGTAACAATATTGGAGTCGAAGGCGCACGTTAAAGGTTAACTTGGAAACCTCGTTATGACATAACACAGGCATCTTAAGCAATCCTGAGTGTGTAGAGACATGATAACTCATCGGGTGGGGATTGGGAGTTGAGGGGCAGTGACAAGGGGCCTGGACGAGGCTACCGAACTGCCAGAAAACAGCCTGAAACAGGAAAGAGCACCACATATGCCACTTGGAATGTGTGACGCAAACCCCAGCCTTGAAACAAAGAACAGGAAACAGCTCTGCTGGCTGCGCTGGGGAGAAAGCACAGAGAAACATTTAGGCGGCCCTCCCTGACCCTATATTCATGAGCAGCTGGAGTCTTTTAAAACAACAACAGTGGGTGGAGGTGTTTGTTCATTGGGTGTGAATAAAAACACTGTCCTTATGGAGGGGACCTGCCCTATTTACAAACAGGCTCCCTTAACACGAGGAGCAGGAGATTTTAAGACACCACAGGTCAGGAGGATTCGCTTAGACCTTCCCTTAGACCGGTTGGTTTATTACTGTATTTACAGAATGCCAGTAGCTAAACAGAGCTCCGGTTTCATGACATCAAAGAGGCAGCGCCCAGCCTGGCAGTAAGCACCCTCTTCACAGACAGAGCTGGGGGAAGAGACCATTGCAGGAAGGATTTGTAAAGCTTGGGGCTGCTCCTGGACAGTGGCTAACTCATGCTCAGTACCGGTTCCGTAGCTGAGGACCAACGTCACTAAATACATCCAAGAATATTTTTATAAGCCATCACATGCTTAGCCTTCCACACCCCTGTTCTCATATGCACTCAAGACTTCAGATTCTGAAATGATTTTCCATGATTTTTCTTATTTTTGAAGCACCCACATATAAAGCTGAATAAGTGAAGGAAGCTAAAGCAGAGGAATAGCACAACTTGTCTAGTCTTCATGCAGTAGAATAACTTCAGCACTTGTTTTCCTTCAAAGCTGTGGTTCCAAATACTCTCTCTTCTCTTAGATACCTTGCACTGGTTATTTATATACCACAGGTGGGACATCTAATATTATCAAACGTGAGAATGTTACAGCAAATTACACGGATGAGTACCACAGCAACACCAATGAATGCTGTGGGGTTCTGAAGTTGGAGTTTAATAATGAATATGGGGTAAAAACTGGCTAGTACAGCATCTGCACAGCAAGGTGTGGGTGTAGGTTTTATGCCAATAGTATCAGATCCTTATTTCTTTATACTGAATAACTGCAAATACAAGTAATTTGCTGTGTAACAACATCTCTTTTATCACTGAGTCTTTAACCCATCTCTCACTCACATATTTATTTATCTGAAGGCTTTTGCTTTTGGCTAAACAGGTGTTGACTGGGTCAAATGTTCACAGTACCTACAGGCTCCCTTGCAGTTCTGCAGCTTGGAGATTTTGTTTGGATTCTCCGGGAAAAAAGAGACCATATAGCATTCTTTCCTACACCCATCCCTCACCCTTACCCCCAGTCTCTCTTGTAATCTGTACCATAGTTGTAGCAGCATGCACAGGGAAAAAAATGAAAACCAGATATATTTACCTGCTTGTAAAAAAAAGGCTACTCAAGTCAGCTTTGGGTTTTTTATATTTTGATACTAGGCAATAACAATATATTATTAAAAATACATGGTGAAAGCTAATTTGAAATACATGTCTTTGTGTCAGGTAAGATTATCAAATCAAGATGCAATTCCTGTCACACAAGTACCAGCTGCTCATGTGATTATCATGCTGGTATCTTAAAAGAATTTAATGGAAAAGTCACTAGTCATCAGCCAAGTAATTCTTTCTTTTCAATACAAGTAATATATATTTATGAATATTAGTTTAAATGAAGTCAAGTCTTCAGAGTTCTCCTATCAGCCACTCAAATTCAGCTTTTCCCAACAATTAAACCTTCAGAGTTCAGTTCCGCAACGTGACATTTCCTGAATTTTCAAAGGTGAGGAAGTGAATAAAACACAGTAGACAGTGCATGTATACTACCTGACTCCAAAGGGAAGTGCACAAAACAATTTTAATGTGTTTTTTAATGTAACTTCTGAATGACCACTCGAACTATTCTGAACTAGGTCTTTCTCCCAAGCTCCAGTTAGGTGCTGTGATCTCCCAGAGCAGGCTCGTGTTGCTGAGCCTTCCTTTGCCAGGGCTCCCCTAGCTGCGCCAGGCACTCACCTGACAGCGGTCCAAGGTAAGTAACTCCTATTCCCAGTTCGGTTAAAAAGAAATAAATAAACAGAAATTAAGAAAAAAAAAAAAAAAAAAAAAAAAAAAAAAAAAAAAAAAAGAGAAAAAACCCCAAGGGTAAAAAACAAAACAAAACAAGAAAAACCAACGAAAGGCATCTAGCAAAGGAAAGGTTATTTATAACTCCACACTTCCCTGCCGTGTTGTCCCACGTTTTACCTTCGCCTGCATGGCGGCCAAGCGGTGCTAAGCTCGTGACAATACGAGGGCCAGTCTTTTGGGAGCCGATTTCATCCTAGACTTCACCAAGAGTTAAACGAAGGACATGGCCGATCCGCTCCTCGCTACGGGTGGGACACGGAGCGCACGCGAGCTCCTGCCCTGGCATCTACTCCGTCACCCGCGGGACCGAGCGAGCCCGCTAAATTTCCACCCCGGTTGGGTCGGGCACTGTATCCCGCCCGGGATCCGATGGCACTTCAGTCTCGACCCGAAGACGCGCCTGTCCCGCCCCGGCGAGAGGCCGGGGGCTGCGGCCGCACTGGGCACTGGGCGGGAGAGCAGCCCCGAGGNCTGCGGGGCCGCTCCCGGCACGGGGATGCGCGGTACGGCGGAGCTCTGGCTCTGCCCCACGACTGCGCTTGCTGCTTGAGACAGTTTTCAGCGGAGTGCACTGCATGCTCCCTCGGTAAAATGGGAGGCACTTACAGATAGACCGAGGGACTTCACTTTGAACAATTCTTTTTTAAAAAATGTATGTTGGCTGACTATATTGATTTCACTGTTTAAGGAAAGCTTACTCACTTACTCACTGTAGTGTGCCCACAATGGTTGTAGTGTGACATACGAAATCATGTTCTCTCCTTACTGATGTATGGTACCTAACCATGAGACCAAGGAAGAGGCAAGTGCTGTGTTTGGTAAGGCCCTGTCCAGTAGTTATGGTGTGGACAGATGGAAAGCCAGTGATACATCTTGTGGATGGACAGGTCACCCAGCAGGTCTTCATATACATGCTTTGTTTTGTGGGTAAAGCCAGTGGAAGGGGCTGAGTATTTCTAACTTTGCAGGACCAGTCTATGTATATAATTGTCTTAATAGGACCCTAGTGTAACATACGTGTTTCTTTGTATGTTTGGGTTGAACTTTCTGTTCACTTTGGTTCTTATTGACCCAGTCAACAATGCCGTAGAAACAAAGCAAAGAAAGAAGGGGAAAGGAAGGGGGAAGGTATTTTCAAATACACGGCTGTGCACGCATGTTCAGACTATGTCTTTATTCCTAGGATTTTTTAATAAATCCTTTTACTTAGCTTGCTATTAAAGCTTGTATAGCTTTAAAAAAGCAAATTAAGACACCAATCTGAAGCCCTGAAGGGTATGACTCAGTGACATAACAATAAATTGTTGTATCTCCTGCTAAGTAATTACACCATATCATGTCACAACAAGGTATTGTTGAAATACTATCATGTAGCTCATAAAGTGTCATTTTTTTATTATAAGCCTATAAAATAAACAGAATGCTGTGTTACACACATGGGCACAGAATATTTCATTAGGGCTATGAAAAGGAGCTACTGTAGTCTTCTTGCATGAACATGCTTGAGATAAAGTAGATATGTCCCAGTTTGCATTCTTTTATTCTGGGAACTAGAAGAGGTTAAACAGCTAACTGAAACCCTTAGGTTGGAGGCAGAGCTGTTGTGATGTTAAATCGTGAAAAATGCAAAAATACTTAGTAGCAGCCAGCTTGCTGCTCCTGGTGAAGTCACTGGCTTTCCTTGCTATTATCTAGCTCTGGTCTCAGATTAACCTGTTTTAATCTGGTATAATTTTACTGTCTTCTTGTAAAGTGGCAGAGGAGAGGGAGGACTGAGAATGATACTTTTGCATTGTCAAGATTGTACACCTGTCAGCATTTTGTTGCCTTCCTGTGTTTGTTTTTGGCAAGTCCAGATTCTGAAGAGAGCAGAATCTTAATGATTTTAGTGGGAATTGAAAAACCAGTAGGGAGAAATTGGTAGCAGAGGGAGTCCTTGCCATCTGGTTAGCAGACCCAGCAGTTTTAACCAGGTCTGGAAGTGTTTCTAGATCAAAGGGCTGGTTGATGGCAGCCCTTAACATCTTCCATCACAACACCTCTTCAATCTCTGCTCTACCCATCATCCCCACAGAATTTCTGTCTCAAAATGGAAGGAAGAGAAGTGGTATGCAAGTCCTTGGTATTGGAAAAGAAAGAATGCTGTTTGGTGTCCTTTGGTTTGTAGCACCTGCTATGAGCCCTTGCAACAAGATGGAGCATTTAACAAGATGGGGCCTTGAGGATCCATAATTCCGAGCATTAGGAGGAGTGTTGGCAACATGTTACAAGTTTCTGATGTAAGCAGACAGGAGATGTTACCTAGAGTGGGTTGAGGGAAATGTATGGATCGCTGGTACGAACAAATCAGTATTAAAATGTTAAATGAAAGGGCATAATATGTTCAGATGTCTGTTAAAAGATCAAATCCAGCCATTTGTTGAAACAAACCTTTGCTACATTCAGCCAAATTGCCAGTGTGATATATGTAACTGTTCTGTCACGTTCCTGACATATTCTGCTTCCCAAAAATCAGTTAAAAAATAAATACTTAAGAATTCTGTGTACTTTTTTAGTCCTTAATTCAGCTTCAGGTTATGAGGTGAATTGGAAGTAGTTTGCTGGATCCACACAGTACAATTGTTAAGCTGACATTTCTTCCAAGCTGTTCTGTGTTACAAAATGTACTATATATATAGTCAGTGAGTGGTATTTATGCAGAAAATGTCCACTGCAACCAGTGGGCTTTTTCCTTAGTCTACAGATACATATTTGAGGGATTTGGATATCTGTGTATAAACTTACATTGTTCTGCAGTTTCAGGTCAGATAGTCACCTCATACATCTAGTACTCACTGAACAGCTTCTGGAAGGAATGAGGGAGAGATCATCACATAACCAGCAATCTTCATTACTTTTGTTAAACACAGTTCACATTTTGGAAGAACCATAAATTTCACATTTAAAATGCTGTTAATTTATTGCACCCCAAATGTTTACTCTCCACAGTACAGTGAGGATACATGCTGTAAGTCCAAGTTGTTAAAAATATAGAAGTTGAGGCAGTACGAATTTGAATAGAAGCTTAAATGACTTAAAAGCTTAGGTGTGTTTACGCTGCAGTCATGTACATACCTGAGCTGGTTTAAAACTAGTCATCTGGGGAATTGGTAGCAATCTAGCTGTGGCAGTGCGGACCCTGTAGCTATATGGAAAACATGCCCCAAAAGCTGGCCTGAACTCAATGGCCAGACTACTGTCAGTGCCCAAGACAAATAATGTCAAGCTTGCCTGGCTGTGTGTGTATACACAGTACTGTAGTCACATCACTTGTGACTATAGCTCAGACATATCCTTCTGTGAATTCTGTGACTCAGCCTTGTCTCCTGGCAGATGATTCCTAAGCTCTTCTGGGAGTTTTGTGGGTAGTGGCAATTCAGTGGTCCATGGGAAAGGCTTTTGCAGGTATTAAAAAACTCACAGCACAACATAAGATGCACCCTTATTTCACTGGAACATCCCGTGTTGTAATGGTGGGCTCTCATCTTGCAGCCACGTGAGCAGCTTGTGAGTCAATCTGCATGTTTGCATAATTGGGTCCTTCTTGTTTGCTTGGAGGGAGGGCAAGGCAAGGGTGAGTAGCCAGGCTTCCTGGCTCTCTCATACAGGTGTGGGCAAGAGGAAACCACTGGAGGAGCATGGGCAGAACTGGTATTGAGGTGCATGGGGCCTAGGGTAGAGGTTACTGTGTGAACCCCTCCCTGCCTCTCTCCTGCCCACACACGGATGATGAGTCTTGCTGCCTGACCTGGCCCAGGCTCTTCCTCCTGCCTGTCCCTTCCTGTGGCCCATGGACCAAGACAATTACTGTAGTTCCTCACTCCTGAAATGAATTCACATTTTGTGCAGGAACAAATTTCAAAGACCACAACACAAGGTTATTTTGCATTCACCACCTCACACAAGGAAAGGATGGATGGCTACTCTTTCTAGTTAAAACCAACAAGTCGCACATGACTGCTTTTAACAAAAATCAGCTCTCTGAGGGCCAGCCCTCAAGCCAGCTGCAGCAATCAAAATTACAGAGGTAACATGTGGGGACTGGGATGTGTGTGTGTTGAATTTCCTGCTATACGTTGGTATTTTTAAGAACAGGCATGGTTTTGATGCAGGTGTAATGACTACTGAAGGCTGTTGAGCTTGAATTTCATTATTTGAAGTGTAGAAAGATGGTTGATTTTAGTAGTGATGTTCAAGTTGAGGGACACTTGAAGTTTCCATAGCAGAACAAATAACAACAATTTTGGAAGCAAGAGCAGATACATATGTGTGAAGATTGATGGATTTGGAGGCCAAATCTCCATCAAGTATATGCTGATGTGAACTAAGACAATGTGTGGATGATGTTATAATTGAAAATGATCTTGTGTAGGTGCCCTGTCTCTTAATACTGTTCTTGAGCTTTATTTCTATAATGATGTTTTCCAGTACTGGGGATGGAATTATGACTGCACAACAGGGAACAGAAAGATGACATGGTTTTCTCATGCAAAAATATATGCAGTCAGTGGTTTGGTTATAATAGGTCTGTTGCTTTCAGTCTATGTTCCTTCCCAACAGAAAGCAACAGAAAACACATGGATAAGAAGTTAGTTATTCTGTTGACTTTCACTGTATAAAGATTTGTTCTGTGTTCTAATAAATGCTCTGGAAGTCTTGAAATTATGGTGCATTGGGTGTGCATGGCCAGGTTTTGGTAGCAGGGGGCTACCGGGGTGGCTTCTGTGAGAAGCTGCCAGAAGCTTCTTCTATGTCCAGGAGAGCCAATGCCAAATGGCTCCAGGACAGCCGTGCTGCTGGCCAAGCCTGGGCCAATTAGAAATGGTGGTAACGACTCTGTGATAACATATCTAAGAAGGAAGAAAGTTATTGTGCAGGTGTAATTGCAGCCAGAAAAAAGTGGGGTGAAAATATGTGAGAGGAACAACTCTGCAGACAGCCAGGTCAGTGGAAAAGAAGGGGCAGGAGGTGCTCCAGGCACTGGAGCCGAGATTCCCCTGCAGCTCTGAGATGAGGCAGCTGTGCCCCTGCAGCCCATGGAGGACCATGGGGATGCTGAGATCCACTTACATCCCGTGCAGGAGACCCACACTGGAGCAGGTGGATGCCTGAGACTAAGCTGTGACCTCATGGGAGAGCTGTCCTGGAGCAGGGTCCTGGCAGGGATCTGCAGACCCATGGAGAAAGGAGCCCCCATTGGATCAGGTTTTCTGGTAGGGTTTGTGACCCCTTGGGGAGCCACGCTGGAACAGCCTGTCCTTGAAGGACTGCACCATGTGGAACAGTGACTCATGTTGGAGCAGTTTGTGGAGAACTGTTGCC